CAGCAGGGCCCGGTGCTGAGGGTCACCTTAGTCGCTGAGTGGCTGTGGTCCCTTCTGAATAGAATGAACTTCTCACCCCCTTTCTGGGAGTTCCTGGGTCCAACAAGCCTGTCCCCATGCCCTTCCTACTCCTACACCGCCCTCAAAGCCCACTATGAATTAGTTTAATGGGGGAAGACCCTCTTTCCCCAGGAACACCCACCAAAGTGGGTGCTGATGCTCAGGTCTGCAGATCAATGGCAGGTCACAAAACATGAGCGAGGAAATATGATCCTCATGCACTGGCCCGCAGGGCCATGTGGTCTCACCACAGCTGCTCTGGAGCATCAGGCTTCCAGACTATGGGAGACATGTTTCTGTTCTCTCTAGTCAGAAGGGCAGGCAACCAGTGGATAACAATGTGAAGGAGGTGGGAAGTTCTAGTCCTGTTTACAGGTCCCCTCACCTGGCTGCCCCCTCACCTGGCTGCCCCCTCACCTGGCCACCCCCTCACCTGGCCATCCTGAGCAGAGTGTGGCTACACAGTCAAGCAGGCTGCAAGCCCACTCAGGCAAGACTGGTTGGACACACTGTTCCTGAAAGACTCAGGTGGACAGTGCGTTTCCCATGGGGAAACAGTGCCCTAGCCAGAAAGTATGACCTCCAGAGTAAATTTGTTTCTGTTTTTTTTTAAAGATTTATTTATTTACTTATACAAGCACTGGGTACAATCAGAAGCGCAGGAAGGTGAGAAAATTCACCAGAGCCAGAGCTGGGAGCAGAACAGGCAGACTGACGAAGTACACTGCTCAGGGGAACAGCGGGCGTGGCAGGAGAGGTCTGCGCACCATGTGGGACCCTCGCCGGCGCCCAGGAATTGAACCGGCGCTGCAGAGGCTGCGGGCAGTTTCGCAGCCCAGCGCTCAACTGCTGCACCTCCAGGGGAGGCCCCAGAGTAAATTTGAAGCTGGCTCCAATTCTGGTCCTACTCAGGGGCCATGGATTTTAGGCGCTAATTTGGCCTTTGAATGTTGGGCATGGAGGAGCCAGAGCCACATGGTAGGGCCTGCGTGGCCCTCCAGTGCCATGCTCTGCCTGGTCCTGCTCACTCACCCCTTCCCACGCTGCTGTGGGCGCTCCAGGCCCCATCTTATGGGACCTTTTAGTTCAAAACCCAACCACAGCTAATTAGAATCTTCTCTTATTTCAGCTTCATGAGAGAGACCAGGAAGTGTGTTCAAGCCAGGGATAGCCTGGGAGGGCAGAATCTTTCTGAGGGGATGTGTAGGAAGGCGGTAGCAGGCATTTTGAGTACTCTGAAGCTGTAGAAATCCTAACCTAGTTGAGCCTTATTTCGACCTCCCTGCATAGTGGATGCCTTTGATCTCACGCTGCAAAAGTATCTCTTACCTCGAAACCACATGGTCATGGTTATTTTACTTTGCACACACACTCTGCATTTTTTTTATTTTTAAAGATTTATTTTTATTTATTTATGCAAAGAAGACCTGTGGTGTAGGCCAGAGGTGCAGGGGGTGAGAGGATTCACAAAAGACAAGGGTGGGGAGCAGAACAGGCAGATCTACTGAAATCCAATGCTGAGGGGAACAGAGGGGAGACAGGAGAGATCTGCTTCGCCATGTGTGTCAGCTCCCTGGTCAGAGATTGAACTCAGTGGCTGGCAATAACTTGATAGTGCTGAGAATTAACCCCTGCGCCACCAGGGAGGCCCCTAGAATAGCATTTTTCTTCTCCTCAGTAGCTAACATTTTCCCAGTATGAGTTTTTGAAAAGCTCGTATTTTCCTTGCCAATTTCAATACTACTAATAACAGCACTTACTAAATGCTTTCTATCTGCCAGAGTTTGTGCTTAGTGCGTGACATGGATTATTTCAGCTTAGTGACACTATCATCCACATAGTACAGCTGAGAAATGGCATTCTCGGGACTTACACCTAAGTCATCTGATTCCAGAGCTCACACTTTTCAACACTATGCTATTCTTATGAATAATTTGGATCTAATTTTGGCTTAAATAGTAGGGGAAATTATTGACATAACTGGAAGTGTAGATGTGGGGCGGGCTCCACAGTTGACTGGGCTCAAGTTCAGCGTCCCCATGGTCCCCTTGGCTCTGCTGCTTTCCGTGTGTGGCTTCAGCTCCAGCCTGACAGATGGAGATGCTGTAGCCATCCCAGGCCCCAAATTCAAGCCCCAAAGCGTCCAGCAGAGACTTTCAGAAACTCTTCCAGAAGAACAGTGAACATTCCCAGACAATCCGACAGAATTGTCATTGGCATCAATCACAGGCAAGAAGGAACGAATTAAATGTTACAGAGCACCCCCTAGAGAAGGGATCTGCTTTCCTTTGGCACATGGGTTTCTTAAAAGTGAGGAGGACATTCAAAAAAGAGCCAGTTCAGCTTTCAGATACAGAAGACCTAAAATGAGTGTGTGTTCAGAATCAGAAGGTAAGCCAGTCTGCCAGCCTGCAGCACGGGGCTGCCATGGCCCTTCCCTTCACCCAGGCCCCCCAGCTCTGTGCTCTGTCAGCTGGTTTCTTCTTGACCCAGCTTAGTTTGGGTGCCACAACTATAATAGCTACCTCCATGCTCCAAAAAAGAGGAAGGAGTGGGAAGGGAGAAACCAATTTCTTCATTGGCAGACATGTGCATAAATCAAAATACACTAGTGTTTATAACACATTGGACAGCACTTAGTCATTTGGCAACATCTGGCTGGAAGAAGCTGAGAAATGTGGAGATTTCTCCAGATAATGCTAAGCCTGGCTGCAAACGCGGAGCTCCGCCCTTTGGTAAGAGGAGAAAAGGCCAGCCGCTGCTCAGGTGGAGCCTTGGACTCAGGTGGACTCGGCACGGAGGAGGCCAGGGGAGCTAAGTACTGGCTGCAGATGGCAGAGTCCCACTGTGCCTGTCCAGCCCAGGCCAGTTAGAGAGCCCCTCGTAGCGACACTCTTGAAAGCCTCCTTTTGTTGCACACCGGTCCCTGAGCAACTGTCTCCCAAGCCGAGACTCCTGCCTAGTCAGATTTGGAGTGGACCCTTACCAGGATTTGTCCATGCATTTTCTTAAGAGTTCTTTATGCATTAAGGACGAGGATAATAAGTTTTTGTCTCCTATTTTTTTTAAAAGATTTATTTATGCATACAGAGCTGGGGTGCAGGCCAGAGATGAGGAGGGTGAGAGGATTTACCAGAGACCGAGGCAGATCTACTGAAATCCACTGCTGTGGGGAGCAGAGGGGAGACAGGAGAGTTCTGCTGTGCCATGTGGGTCAGCTCCCTGGCCAGGGATCCAACTCTTGCTGCAGTGGCTGTGGATAGCTTCATAGTGCTGACGCTTAACTCCTTGTACCACCAGGGAGCACCTTGTTGCCTATGTTGCGAGTGGTTTTCTAGTTTGTCATCTCCCCTTTCTCTTTGTAATCACGCTAGTGTAATTGTAATTTTGACATAGAAATTTTACATTTCATACAATCAAATGTTCTTTGCATGCACATATTTTTCTTCCATCATCCATAAAATCAGATTCCATTTTCGAAGGGGAAATAGATATTTGGTGGACAAGACTTTCTGAATAATTTCCCATCATTTTTTTGATATACGATATACGATAATGAACTAACAGTTTTTGCCAATTAATTAGCCTGTTTTCCCAGCGTCCTTATTGAATAAGTCATCACTTCTTCATTGATTTGACATGCAATGCCATTATATTTAAAAACTTAGATTCCAGTGCCAATATAGCAGAGCAATACCTAACAGGTCAACCACCCCCAGATAACAAATTTTGGACAAATATATGGAAAACAGCCATAGAACACATAGGCAAGAAAAGATAACAGCAAAAAGATAACAGCAAAAGATAACAGCAAACAGAAACCAGAGAGGGAAACAATGCTATACCAATGTTGACTTTTTATCAAAAGGCAGAATCCCATCGATGCTATCGGGAATAGAAAGCTGTGTGTTACTGGCTTGAAGAGCCAGAAGAAAGAGTTTAGAGTTTCTGTGGCAACCAGAAAGTGAAAGGGAAAGACAAGAACCCCAGTGGAAGCACGGAAAGTCCAAATCTGTGTGTCCCCTGAACTATTTGTAGGCAGTATAACACCAAGAAGACATGTGAAGATTCAAATAATTGATCAGAGATTTTAGTTGGTGCCTACTGCAAGAGGCACAGTTACAGTCAAGTTAACTGTCCACCGACGAGACCAAAAATCAATACTCTTTGAAGGAATATAATAGAACCCAGATATTCTGCAAAGTCTCACTCACAGTATCAATGGTACAGTGAAAAACAATTGCAGAGATTCTGCAAAGTCTCATTCACAGTGTCAATGGTACAGTGAAAAACTATTGCAATTACAGGAACAGGACATGTGGCCCTTACTCAGGACTTCAGAAGCAGCAGAGCTGGACTTTAGAGCAGCTGTTATACCGACACTCACAGTATAAGGCCTTGGGCCCCTCCAGCTCCCTCCTCTTGGGAAGGCCCTACAGAAGAGGTTATCCTCTCCGACATATGTTCACATGTGCCACAAACTACCAGTGTGAGAAGTAACCAGGCTCATGACAGGGAGAAAAGGATTTGAATGGAAAAGCAAAGACAGGCATTTTCATCCTCCCAGCCTTAGAAGCAAGCCGAGGACAGTCCCCGCATCAGAAGAGGCCTTGCCAGATCCTTGGCTGCCAAGCACTCTTGGGTCAGAGGTGAAAGTGTCAGTGACTGTGGGTCACATGTCACTTTCAGAGTCCCTCTTTTTTTACTGCCCTCACTAAGAATGTGACCAGCCCCCCTTCAGTGAAGTCTCTTCAAGGGAGTTTCCTTGATACCTTAATAGTTTTTTCTTTCAGAAATTCAAGCCAGCACATACATCTCTATACAAAATAGAAAGAAGCTAAGAGTCAGGGGGTAAAAGCATTTGTAACAGGGTCACCGAGCAAAGGTCGCTTCTATCAGGGTCACAGGTGATCATGGTAACCCCTTTCTTTGTCATCTAGGGAAAATCTCCAGCCCACTCATCGCTGCCTATTCTGCAAGCAAGTTTGCCCTGGACGGCTTCTTCTCCTCCATCAGGACAGAATTTTCATTGACCAAGGTCAACGTGTCCATCACTCTCTGCATCCTCGGCCTCATCAACACAGGTAAGGTCAGGGGTGTGACTCACGAGCAGCAGGTGTGCTGTCAGTCTCACCATGAGGGAAGAGAAAGTGCTGGGCTCCCCAGCTCAAGTGTGAGGCACTCAGACCATGAGGATGCTAGTCCTCAGCTAATGAGGTGCTCTTACAAGCAGGAGCATCTGGCTGCTCCCACCTCCTTTCTCCAGCCTGACTGCCAGGGGTGCTAAGCAGACCAGGGGTCAACCAGCCTTGCCCTGCACAGCTGTGTCCTGTGGACCCGTTGTGGGGGGCCTTCCTACATGACTCACCAAACACAGTTTATATTCATTATAAACATCACCAGTGATAAGACCTGGGAGTCACAGTGACTCTGGAGACCACAGTGTCACTGTGGTATTCTTGTCATTTGGGTGCTATTCTTGCTGAAGAAGAACCTTACCCCAGCCCTAAGAGAACGAGGGGCAAACCCACGTTGAGGGGCACTCTGCTGAACAATTGCTCAGTGCTCCTCAAAATCATGAAGGCCATGAGAGCCAAGGACAGACAAGAGGACTGTCCCAGATTGAAAGGGGGGGGAGGTGACATGACCACCAGCTCAACCCTGGAGAAGACCCTGAGTTATAAAACGGACATGAGTGAAAAAATAAGGCCTGCAGTTTAGTCAGTTTTCCCAAGGATATGGTCCCTCCCTTGATAACTGTACAACATTTTTAGTGTCATAATGAGGACAAGCAGGTGAAGCGTAGAAGGGAAGAGGCCACACAGCCTTTAGCTTCCATCTGGCCCATCAGCAAGTTCATCTGGAACACATGGCAGGTCTGACAGGAAAAGTTTATTTAAAGAGCAATCAGGTAAATCAAATAGTAGACACAGAGCAAGAGCGTGAGGGAAGCTAAAGACACACAGGGAGATGAGAGAGGCATGGAGGGGCAAACACTCCAGGAGGACAGAGAGCAGGCGGGAGAAGGAGGCTGCCCAGACTCTCCTTCCAGGCGAGAGGGCGGGGCTGGCTGGGGCCAGAGGCCACCCATCCAATCCCTTCCCAAGTCAGTAAGTCGGTCACTCCTCCACGCTCCCCTGTGCACCAACACTCCCTGGCTGTGCTGTGGGGCCATCCCCACCCTCTCTCCTCATGGCACTGTCCCCTACCACACCCCACCCCAGACAGAACCCCCAAGGGAGGACTGTGATTCAAGCATCTCAACTAGTTACATCCAGTGGCCCTGCGGAGCCTCACCCCGGAACACAGGGCCTGTGGGAAACCTAAGCCCATCTTAAGGGGACAGTCCTACATGCCCCATCTCCCCCATGTCCCAGGGGGCTCAGGGCCTCCTCAAGCTGCTCTTCCCAGACACCCCAGCACGGAGCTCCCACGTGGACGACCAGTCTCGGACACACTCTCTTCTCTTGCCACTCACAGACACGGCCGTGAAAGCAGTGGCCGGGAAGCTCAACATCCGCGGGTCCCCCAAAGAAGAGTGTGCGCTGGAGATCATCAAGGGGGGGGCACTGCGCCAGGAGGAGCTATACTATGGTAACCCCGTCTGGACCACGCTCCTGATGCTGAACCCGGGCAGAAAGCTGCTGGAACTCTTGTCTATGAGAAACTACAATTTGGACAAGCTCATCAACAACTAGGCATGCACTCGGGGCTGGGTGTGGTGGGGGGCTTGGGGCTGTTTAGCCTCATATTTATCCGAGCCTTCGCCATCGAGATGCAGCATCCCCAGAGAGTCCCAAGTCAAGTCTCCCAGCTTGACTGAGTCCCTGACTCCACAGGAAGGGAAGGCGTGAGGTGTCCCAGCTGCGGCAGTCTGCGTTGGCGATGTGTGCTGACACCAGAGTGGCTGCCCCACGCCTTCCGGGTCTGAGCAACATCAGTACAATAAAAGCCCTGTGGCCTTTACCTCCACAGCTGTCCATGACTTCATTCCACCTGGTCCTCTCACCCCACCTGTCCAAGGACATCTTCCCATGCCCTTCCCAGAGGGCGGCCTGCGCCGCCCAGCTGTGCTGAGAGTCCAGCCTCCTCTCCACTGAGCCGGCAGCTCTCCCGCCACTGAGCTCTCAAACGAGCTCTCACACGCTCTTTTTTTAGAGATTTTATTTATTTATTTATTTATTTATTTATTTATGCATACAAGAGCTGGAATGCAGACCAGAGGTGCTGGGGGTGAGAGGAGTCACCAGAGACAGAGTGGGGAGCAGAACAAGTGGATCCACTGAAATCCACCACTGAGGGGAGCAGCGGGGAGTCAGGAGAGGTCTGCTGCGCCCTATGGGTCAGCTCCCTGGCTAGGATCGCACTCAGGCCGCAGCGGTAATAGCCTGAGACATCACCCGTATGCCCCAGGGCAGCTTGTTCACACACCGTATTATTTCATGTTGCTCCTCTGGGGAGGGACTGAATCTCGAGGGCAAACCCGTGGCCACATTGTTCATGAAAGTCCAAGTGGATCCCACCGAGGCTTGAGTCCCAGAACCTCTGTCCGTCCATGCTCAGCTGCTCTGGGCCGCGTCTCCTGGAGAGGCCGCCCTGCCACCATCACTCACTGTCCTAGTGGCACACATGGCCACCTGCCTGTGTCAGGATGACTGGTGGACTCGCCGCAAAGATCCCCTCCCCAGTCAGTGCAGGGCAGCGCCTGGGGGAGGGCAGCCTGGGCAAGTTTAGGGGAGTTTCATGAAAGCTTACATTGGGTAACTTTGGTAGAGTTTTAAAAACGGGGGGTCAATCACAAAATTGTGGGCAAAATGCTAAGGACATTGCGAGAGAAAAGGCAGCAACTCAGGGCTAGGGCAGCCTCAGCCCGCATGGACAGAAGGAGAGCCCCACCCCAAGAATTGAGGGGCACCAGGGGACAGAGCTCTGGCCTTCATGGGGGGATGCACCAGCCCTCTGGGGGGTAACCATCCCCGACAGCGCTCCCTTCCTCAGGCGTCCAGCAGTATTCTCTACCAGCCAAACAGGGGCCAAGCTGGGTCGTGGCCCCCACACAGGTCCACCCTGCCTCGGGTGGGGGAGGATCACCCTGGTGTTGGGGGCCGTCAGCCTCTGTCCGGCTGACGCCAACCACCAGACACTCCTGCAGTGCAGCCGCTCAAAGTGGCCTGTGCTCAGAATAGTGTCCATGCTGTGTGGTCAGGCCCATGTGGTCAGGTGTGCCTGGCCCAGGCTGCCTGTGACCCTGTGCCCACTGACCTTCCAGGTGGTAGTTCCTGCAGGACCGCAGCACCCCAGGCCCGTGACCGGAAAGACAACCAGCCCACTGTTTCCTGTGCTGCCTCAGCTCCCGTTTCCCCACCCCCACCCCCACCACACCCTCCCCTCCCCCCGCCACCAGCCTGGGTCCTACCATGAGGCCGTGGCTCTCTTCTCCTGGGCAGGAAAATTCCTGATTGTCCAGTGCTGGCTCCACAACCCCTGTCCACATGGCTGACTGGAAGGATGTGGCCAGCCCTTGGAGCGGGACTTTGTCTCTGTCAGGGGATGGGAAGTAGCCGGAAATGTGACTGAGTCCCCGTGTCGGTAGAGGCCACCACAGCTCTGCAAGTGTCATTGGTACCCCCGTTGCCTGCAAGGTCTGGGGCGTGCTTGAGGAGTCTAGGCCCCCTGTCCCGGGACCCCAGGCCAGGGCCAGAGTGCTCTGACAGCGCCGCTGGGTCACTTGCCGGCCAGTCCCCGGTGGCCTCTGACCTGGCCCTGGGGCCTGACCACAGCAAAGCCACCCTTTCTTCTTCAGGTCAGTCGTTCCGAGTCCCCCCAGCTTCCTGGCCCCAATGATGAGGATATTTTTATAAGACTCGGCTGAGAAAGCCCCTCCCTCCCCCTCTGCCACCTCCCTCCCCTTCACCTCCCTCCAGGGACACACTCTCAGCTGCCCACTTCTGGGATTTTGAAAGCAGCCCCCAGAACTCTAGGCTTTGGGGTCCCCACACCATGGAGAGGTAACCAGACTTAAGAAAATCCTCGCAAGAACTGATGCCCAGGCCACGCAGACCCCGGGGTGCTGCTCTGGGTCAAAGGGCATCTCTCCCTGGTAGAGGCCCAAGTCAGCCCCTGGTGTCCACTCCTGAGCGGGGCCTGGGCTGCAGATTGCCTGGTTGCTCTGACCATCCAGCAGCAGCGGGAGCTGGGCGCCCACTGAGGGGCGGAGCAGTGAGGAGGCCCTGGAGGCCCCAGGTTCCGGGACCCATGCAGATGGTGCCCAAGCGAGAGAGGAACTGGGGTGAGCCGGTAGTGCAGCTGAGGCTGTTTCCTGTTTCACTGCCGTGCACAGAGCAAGCAGTACCCAGAAGGGCAGGGCTGAGGAGCCGGGGCGAGGACCACCCCGGCGTGTGGACCCAGCGCCCAGGCCAGATTCGAGAGCTGCCAGGAGCTCAGACACTGCCCTGAGGGACGCCAGCCCCGAGGTAACCCAGGGGGTGGAGGTTGGCACTGCTTGGCTGGAGCAGCCGCTGTCCCCAGGCCCTGAGTGGCAGGAGACTGTAGAGGTCGAGGTGCCAGGTGGGGTCCCAGAGGCCCAGGGGGCCCCAGGCTCCAGCCTCAGCACCTCTGCTCATCCATGAGGCTAGATAAGAGATGCCAGAGATGCCAGCAGGGGCTCCCCAGCACTGAGTCAGCACCAGCAAGCTCCCCACAGGGTCCCAGAAGTCAGAACCACCTGCCCAATAGCGGGGACAGGCCTCTCCCTGACCTGAGAGTCTGGATGAGGCCGCCCCACCTGGGGGCTGTTCGCTGCCCGTGTCCCCGGAAGCAGGAGTGGGGCTGAGGAGGCAACCAAAGCCCCTTAGAGGCCGGGAGACCCCCACCACACCAGCCCACCACCCTCTGCTAGGGCCGCACTGCAGGGCAGCAGAGGGAGCAGGTGGCTGGTGACCTTTCCCTGAACCATCCGGGCCAGTACCTTCTTCTTAAACAGCCTCCCTGTCCTGCAGCCTCCGCACAGCTCTCGTTCCAGCAAATCAGAGTCGAGAACACATCCCACAAATCACAGGGCGGAGATCCCCTCATTTCAGCTATGCCAGCCCCTGCTGTGCATCTCCTCTAAAGAGCCATTTTCCCCCACCCCCACCTTGTGGAGGCCCCGGGAGCAGCCCTGGGCACACAGTCGGCAGGACCAGACTCCCCCCCACCACCGCCACCTGCGCCTCCCCAGAGCAGGAAGGCAGGAGGGTCTCCATGACAGGGGTCAGCTGTCTGCAAAGTCTGGGAGCCCAGTGGGGCACCCCAATCTCAACGCCTGTCCACCAGGCCTGACAGGGTGTGGGCTTTGCCCAGACACAGAGGACCCCTGCCCTGGTAGCCCAGCTGGAAGCCCGGGGCCAGGGCAGCGCACGTGGCCAGAGGACAGGCAGGTCCTTCAGGGCAGGCAAGCAGGCCTGGGGCTGGGGCAGTGCCAGCTGTGGCTGAGGACCAGGCAGCCAGGGGGCACACACCCACAGACCCTGGCACCAACCCACATGCCACTCCCTGGTCCACACAGCCCCACGGGCAAGTGTGGGCCACGGGACATCCCAGGGATCCAGCCAGGGCTCCAGGACAACCAGGATCGCCCACCCTCCCCACTTGGTGCTAACATGACAGGGCTTCTGGGTCTTTTTAGACATTTTTAGCTCAGGAAAGGGGCAGGCAAGAAGTGGAGGACCCTGCAGAGACGCATAGGGGAAGGGCAGGGGACAAGTCCGGAGCCCCTCACTGTGGTGGTGGGGTCGCTCCCGCCTCCCGAGCAGGCCTGAGTGTCAGAGCAGGGCATGGCCAGGGGAGACCCCTTCAGGCATAGAGCTGTCCACCATGGCCCTGGGGACAGTGGGAGGTCAGAGAGAGCCAGGACGCTGCAGATTTTTCCTGATGGAGCCGGGTGGCCGGGTCCCAGGACCGGGCAGAGGCCACTACCTGCACGTCTTCTGTTTGGCCTATAAATAAAGCCCAGGCAGCTGGATGCCTCCCGAGTCTGCCGGGGCTTGTTCCGGGGGCAGCACTCAAGCAGCACAGTGCAGCTGGGAGGGCAATCCCTGCCCCACCAACCCCACCATTCAGCACTGCTGGGGCAGACACGGACATTCTGCGCTAGGGCCCAGCCCCAAGCCAGTGAGCCAGGTGGGAGGGACTGGAGAGCTGCAGTGTGCAGGTAAGTGAGGCAGGGAGGGTGCTGGGCGTGGGTCATGGGTTCCCAGGGCCTGGGGCTCTGGGACAGCCTGCTTTCTGCTGCCACGTGTGGCTGTATAGGCCGTCCAGGCAGAGTCCATGCAGTTCTGGGCTCAACAGCACGTCTGTCCAGGCCGAAGAGAGCAGCTGGCTCTCCACTTACCCCAGCAGGGAGGTGGTACTGAACAAGCAGGGTCCTCAGCTTAGCATGCCCTGGGGCTGGGAGCTCAGACAGCTGCACCACACTGTGCACACTGATTTGGGCTGATCTGCAGGCTGGGTGCAGGCCGAGGGCCGGAGGCAGGGACGGGGTGGAGGAAGGCAGCGGTCCCTGCTAGCCCGCCAGGACCAGGCTGGGCCTCAGGGCACAGGGTTGGCCCCTCCCTGGGCCTGGAGGACTCACCCATTGCAGCCACTCCTGGGCCAAGAAAGCACCATGGGCCACCCTGCTGACGGGGCAGGGCCAACTCACCTGGTCCTCCCCAAGCCCCTGGGAAATGAGCCCACGAGGGGTCTGTCGCTCATGCCCCGTGTCCCCTGGCCTAGAGGCAAACAGAGATGGGCAGTCCAGGGAGAAGAGGCAGCTCCTTCCGTTTTGCAGAGGGGGCACTGGCAGAGACAAGCAGACTGCACCAGGCTGGGGCGAGGCTGTCATGGTGACCACTGCTGGGGCCACCCCCGGTCTGGCCCTCTCCTGACCTGCCTCCTCCTCCTTGGCATCCGCAGACCCCGCGGCTATTCCAGGAACTGGGGGGCCAGGAAGACAGGTGTTCGGCAGCCACTGCGATGGGCCCAGACCCCAGGCCGGCACCGTACCGGGCCCGAGGGCCTGAGAGTTATGAGGCCAAGTGTGAACGCCGGCAGGAGGCCCGGGAGAGCCGGCGGCGCCGCCCCAACATGACCACATGCCGCCCGGCAGAGAAGGCTCAGCGGGCCCAGCACCGGGAACAGCTCCAGCGGGCACGGCAGCAGCAGCTCTCCCAGAGGAGGTGCCTGGAGGTGGGGGAGCAGTGCGTGGTGACCCCCAGCCCTGGCCAGGCCGCTGAGTTTGGGGAGCCCCCGCCCGGGGCCAGCAGGATCTCCGCCCCCAGACAACAGGTGGGCACGGCCGGGGCTCGCTGCCGGGGTGGGGGAAGTGACAACAGGAGCCCCCTCTCTCCGTACAGCCTTCGTGGTGGTGGCTTTGTCTTGCTAGCTTTTGCTTTGCTCACGCGTGTTAGGAGGAAAAAAAATTTTTTTAAACAGTCCCATAAGTGATCCTTGGTGTCCACCGACACTCAGGCCATCTCTCCCATGCTGTCCACTCTCTCATGCGCCAGCCAACCCTCAGCAAATACTCACTTGAGCTTATGGAAGCAGGGATGCAGGCCAATCTCCTCAGTGCCTGCACTCCAAATGTGCACACACATGCACACACGCGCATAATGCACACGTGCACGTGAGCACACGTGTGCACACATACTGTCTCTCCTCCTTTCTTCTGTGAGACAAAGGTGCCCACAGCTAAGGGCACCTGCTCCAGGAAGCCTCCCCTGGTTTTCTCCAGGCCAGCCCTGCTGTCCACCATCCTGGTACTGTCACAGATTCTCTAATGTCGAGTGACTCCTACAGGACCCATTAGCTTGAGGAGGAGCAGCACTGATGAAAATCGGGGCATGTTGAAATGACTCAGCCAGCAAACCACCGATGTCCTCCTGTAGTCCTTCAGTGCTAATGGTGGCTGGCCATGTATCCCGGACGTGCCCAGAGCAGGGCTCTGCCAGGGCTTCTGAGCATGCGGATCAGGTCCCTGCAGGAGGGGGGCTGTTCAGGAAAATCGTGCTGGAGCCCATCTGGGAAATTGAACCAACAGTGTCCTTTCAAAGGCAAGGTGGCTTCTCAATGCCTTGTCGAAAAAATTCTTTTTTTTTTTAAAGATTTATTACTTATGCATATAAGAACTGGGGTGCAGGCCAGAGGTGTGGGGGGTGAGAGGATTCCCCAGAGACAGAGTGGGGAACAGAGCAGGCAGACTGACCGAAACACACTGCTGAGAGGTCTGTGGCACCATGTGGGTTTATCCCTGCCCGGGGATCGAACTTGTGCTGCAGAGGCTGCGGATAGCTTCATAGTGCTGAGACTTAACCCCTGCACCACCAGAGAGGCCCTCAAAAAAATTCTAAGGAGGAAAAGGACAGAACACAGTCAAGGCTCCAGCTGGCCCATTGGCGACCCGAGGCCCCGCTGCCCCGGGAACCCTCTTCCGGCGTGGAGTGCCCGTCTAGTGCTGCATCCAAGCACACAATTTGAGCTGTAAGAAGGAAATATAAAAAGAGCAGCCTCCACGGGCACCCCATCCCCCGCCATGGCCCCCTGTGCACAGCTGTGGTGCCCCCTCAGGGGCAGCCAGCTCTGGACCGAGAGGGGTGTCAGGGCAGCGTCCGCGCTCGGGGCCCCTGCTCAGCACCGCCCGCCCACTGGGTTGCAGTGAAGCCCAACCAGGCAGCCCAGGGTACCAAGAGCCGACTAGAGGCTGGGCCGGCTCTATCTGTACCTGTGGGGGCCAGGCACAGGCCTGGGGGTCAGGCCAGGGAGGGTAACACTCACGTGGTCTGCTGGCTGGCATCCTTCTTCACAGTCATCTGCACTATACAGGGGCAGGGAAGCCTCGTCCTATGAGGGTTCTAGAAGTCTCTGCATTCTATGCCTGAACCTTGGCCATGGGTCATCCTTCTGCAACTGGAGAGTGGGGATGAGGCCCAACTCTCAGCCACCCCCCCCTTCCTTCCAGGTGACAGGGTCTGGCCCTGAGGCCACGGCAGCCCAGCTTCGTTCGTGCTCGGGCGTCCTGAAGGACCTTGCTGACCAGTTCCCCTCCCAGATGGGGGGTGCTCCATCCCATGAACCCCCACTCAAGAAGCCCCCCCAGCACCACCGCGGTAAGCTGCTGAGCCCCGGCTGCCCGCGGGCCATGGGGGCCTGTCCTCTGGTCTGAGTCCCCATCCGTCCGTAGGCACACAGACGGCAGTGGGCAGAACACAGACGGCCGTGAAGAAGGATGCCAGCCAACAGACCACGTGAGTGTCCCCCCCTAGACCCTGGCCTGACCCCCCAGCCTGGACCCCGCCCTGGCACCCCGCCCTGGCACCCCTGCCCCCAACTCTGGCCACCCTGCGGAGGGGCACATTGCCAGCCTTGTGGCCCTAGTAACACTTGTCTCCTCTCCCCTCTTCCAGCTCTGGAGTTGCGGTTCTCGACAAGGTGAGGAGGCTGACCTTGAGGGCCTGAGCAGCAGATGGCACCCCAGTTCCGACAGCCTGTAGACCCCGGGCCTGCAGAAAGGGCTGGGGGGCACCTTGCCTAGATGGCAAGGGGGCCTGACATAGTCCTTGGGATGGGGGTCCCCCCACACAGCACTGGGCCTGGGGGCCGAGTCTGCGCCAGGGCAGTAGCTTTCTCTGTGCAGCTGTTGGGGCTCCAGCCCCACCAGTCCTGGGAACTCAGATACCCTGTGTCTCCTGACCCACCCCCCCTCTTCTTGCCCTCCAGGAAATCATCCAGCTCTCTGAGTACCTCAAGGTGAGTTGCAGACAGCCCTCTCCACTCCTCATGCACCCCTCTCAGGGTCCCTCACTCTGTGTCTCTGCCCTCAGGAGGCCCTACAAAGGGAGCTGGTGCTGAAGCAGAAAATGGTGATTCTCCAAGACCTCCTCGCCACCCTGCTCCGGGCCTCCGACCACTCCTGGAAGGTGAGGCATGCGCTCACTCTGAACAAAGCTCCGGGCCTGGGGCCATCTCCTTCTCTACCCGCCCAGTTAGAGAGGGGCTTCTACCCCGGCTGAGCCCGAGGCCTGGAGGGAGTGGTGCTCAGCCTAGAGGTTAGGCAGGTCACAGGAGAGAAGGGCTGGCTCAGCCTTCACGGGGCCTCCATGGGAGCGTGCAGGACCGCAGCCCTAGGACAGCCCTGGGACCAGGGAGCAGAGGGCGGACGTCCCAGTGTCTGGAGGAGCAGAGGATGCTTCCCAACCACTCGATGTCCTGATGGTGTAAATGGCAACTGCCAAGGCTAACCAGAGGCCGTGGAGCCTCCTGCCAGTGGGTACATGGAACGGAAGGGTCGGGAGGTCCTCTGCTCGCGCTCTCTGGTTCCGGACGAGGAGGGGGTGTTGGAGAGGGGCCCAGAGACACAGCCGGGTGGTAGCAGAACCGGAGTTGACATTCAGACTCGAGCGGAGTCTGGTCGTCGTTCAGCCAAGAGTCCCAGAGCCACTCCCAGGAAGAGGGTGGAGGAATGGGGGGACCACCAGGGAGTGTGCGGTTTGGGAATGGAAAGAGCATCCGGGGAGCACGGAGATGCGAGAAGAATGAGAAACATCTCTGGACAGAGCAGGATGCGAGAGGAGGGCGGGCAGGGGGGTGGCCGCCGTGGGCACTTTGTGTGCGCTCAGAGCCGGAAACAGCAAGAACGTTCCCTATTCACCACGTCAGAGATGAAAGCTGGAATCTTAAAATAATAACAGTAAACACACGGACTGAGTCACGTCTTTTAAAGAAAACAGGCATAATTTTCACAAAGACGCCGAGAGGAAAGGTGTCGGACAAGCCTCAAGGTGTGGCAGCAGGAAGCCGCAGAGCTGTCAGCAGTCAGTGGGCGCTCCCCCTCCATCAGCTGGAGGGAGGCGTCAGGCAGGAGCCCTGCTCTCATCAGCCGGATGTTGCCAGGACAGGCGCTGGCAGGCCAGGTGGCTTCAGGTGGACTGAAAGGAGGTGTCTCAGTCGTTGATTTGACATAAGTGGATGACTCCGACCACGTGCTGCAGAGGGGACACAGAAGCAGCCGTCCTGGGAGCAGTGGGGAGCCAGCCAGGAAGACGGGCCCTCATGGCCCCAGCAGCCCAGAGCGGGAGAGAAGAGCCACAGCTGCCAGGCGGGGCCAGGTGCCTGAGGAAAGAGCCACCCCAGCTGGGTCTCAAGGGATGAAGAGGAGTTCGCTAGGGCAGAAGTGGGAATGATAGGGAAGAAAGAGCAGAAAGGAAAAATGTTCCACAGCAAGAATCAGGATGATCCTGGCCTGGGTGTAACAGGTGTCAGGCCCAATCGTGAGGCTGAAACCAAGGGGCATCAGGGTGGCCAGAAGCGCCTCCGCTCCGCCATACCCCATGCTGCCTCCGGCTTCAAGGACACGCAGCCTCCCTGGGACGGGGAGGACAGACACCCCAGATCCTGAGCAGCACCACCCAGGAGAGCAGCGGGGGCAGGGCTGGCATTTGGCTGGGGCCTCAGCCCCTCCCTTGGCAGTGTCTACAGGGGAGAGCACGGATCAAGGGCCTGGGCTTGTGCCCGCTGGCAGTGTATGGACTGAGAGCTGGGCTGGGGCACTGAGGCTGGCGGGGGCCTGTGCCTACAGGAGAGCGGCTCCAGGCCTGGGACTCAGGAGCCCAGGCAGGGATCAGCCTCACCCTGAGGGCCTGTGCAGAGACTCCCGGAGGCCGAGGGGCAGTGTGCAGCTGAGTCTTGGAGCTCCCTGCCTCCACCCAGCCACCTCACCCTTCTCTCTGTCTTCCTCCCCACCAACCCTCAGCTTCCTGTTTTTAGAAAAATTGTCTCCGATTTTTCCGTTAAGAGCTTGCTTCCCCACACAAGACAAGCCAACCCTCCAGCCTCCGTGGAAGCCTGGATTGTCCTGAAGCCATAACGGATGGTGGGAGAAGGTGGCGGGGCCAAGGGCTCTGACGTCCAGCTGGCCCAGGCCTCCCTTTGGCCATTTGTCTCCATAGTTTGAACCTTAGCTTTGCAGGCAGACAGCATCCCACAAACTCCCTAAGGGGCCCCCATCAGCTCCTAGAGCCTCTGTCAGCCAGCTGCCCTGGCCCTGGGGCTTCCACAGGCCTTGAGGTGCCGGGGGTTGCTGAGAGTCCTGGGCGGAAGCAGAGCAAGCTACACTCACACGGGTTCGCAGCCTGGAGTGGGCCATGGGGCTCGAGTTCCGCTGAGCGGAAGGGAGATGCTGAGATGACAGCAGGGATTGGCTGCCAGCCAGTGACCTGGGGGGGCAGAAGCGGGCTAGTGTCTGCAAGCCCTGGGGTGTTTCTGCAGCCAGAGCAGAGGTGGGACCAGGCAGGAGCAGCAGAGCAGCCCCAAGCCAGCACCAGGTGTGTATGCCCGCCCCCTCCCCCACCCCAGAGAGGCACGGCCCTCCCACGGGCTCTGAGCAGCCAGCTCTGAGTAGCTGCCCGCTGCCTCCAGGTGGCTGCAGCAAGTCCTCTGCCCCAGCACTGCTTCCATATGGGAGGGAGCAGGGTCCCACCAAGACAACGCAGGCCTTCCTGGCAGAGGCCCTCCACTGGGAAGGCGGAGCCAAGGCCAGTGTGTCCAGGCCCCAGACCGCCCCGTCCAAGGAGCAGCTGTCCCGCGTGTCTACCTTCCCAACAAACATGGGGGGACACGCAGAGCCTCAACAGGGGCAGAGCAGGAGCCTGAACCCAGGGATGAGAAAGGAGCTGCCCCATAGGGGGCAGGGCACAGAGGCTTGTCTGCTGCATCCGGAGACAGAGCCTGGACTCTGCTGGCTTGGTGCCCTCTGGCCCCACGGGGAGCGTCTGAGTGAGGGAAGTGCACCTTGTGGAGAACCGCCCCTGGAGGCCCTGACCTGGGGCGTGGGCTGGCAGGGAGCTGCCTGGGGTGCAGCCTGGTGGATGCCTCTGTCAAAGTCCTGAGGTGACTGTGGAAGTCAAACCAAAGCCTGCTCTCACACCAGACAGCAGGAAAACAGGCCAGGCGGCAGGCACTTTGAAAAATTATTTTTGGCCAAGCCTTTTGCTTTTGCAAGACCCAACTGAGTAATACAGGAAGCCGTGAGGGTGGGGGTGCCTCCTGGCTCCCCGGTTTAGAAGATTCCGCCAAACCAGATCAAACCCAAGCCCGAGCTACCACTTCCTGCGCCCCCAGGTGCCTGGAGCCCTCGAGCTGGCCAGACCGCAGAGAGGCCCGTCCCTGGGAAGCTGGCCGGACCACCCATGACCCAGGAGGCCTGGGGGAAAGGAGCTCTGCCAGCTCAGTGTCCCCATGGCCTGGCTGGCAAACACCAGAGGCAGGACAGTAGGGGGGACACTGAGGAGCCCTGTCTGGACTAGAAACGGATCCCATACCTGGCGGCCTCCCACCCACCTGCACAACCTTGAATCACAGCCGATCCTAGGGAAGGGCAGTCCCAGGGGTCGGGGGGACAGCAGGGGCTCAGCGGCCAGGCTGCCCTTCCAGGCCCTGTGCCTGCCTACTCCACCCTCGCCTGGGGTCAGCAGGGGCAGAGCCCACGAGGGCCGCGGAGGCATTTTAGGAAGGCCTGCCCATCCTGCCCAGCATCCTGCCCATGTCTCGCTTTCTGAGGCCATCCTGGCCCATGTCCCTGGGCAGGGGTCCTGCTCTGGCTGCCAGCACCTCAGCCACACTTTCCCACCCCATTTCGCAGCCTGGAGCTGGGAGCCTAAGGCTGAGGTGATGACGGAGCAGCCTCAAGGCCTCTGCCCCCAGTTGGGTACGCTGCTGGATGCTGGTTCTCTGTGCCCACGTGTCTCCATCTGTGTGTTCTGAGGTTCTGGTCTCTCTTTTGAGGCTAGTGGTCAGGCTGGATGGGGTCACCCCAACAACTTCATTTATCTTATCCCTCTGCCAAGACCCCAAGAAAGGCCATGGCGAGGGCCCAGGGCAGGACCTCAGCAGAGGAACCCCTCACCAGGGTAAGAGGGGGTATGTCCCCCCAAGAGTGGGCCCCCTTTAGCCTCACTGAGCTGGACTTCCGTGGCAAAGGTCCAGGTAGTAGGCAAGGGGTATGGATCTGTCAAGACAGCTTGGCATATCGGAGTAGACCCCGCTGTGACCTCCCTGGCAGACAGACAAGAGACAGCCTGATTCAGAGAAAGAGAAAGAGGCCGATCCCCCTATCCCCACCCTGTCACAGGTCCTCCCCTGCCTCTCGCGAGCTCAGTCCCAAGAGCCCAGAGCACAATGGCCTGCTGGGGCCTGGGACACCTGAGCCGCTGACGCTGACTCACTCCTGACACCTGCCGCAGGGCCAGCTGGACGAAGACAGGCTGAAGGGCAGACTGAGAGCCTTAGAAAGCCAGCTGCGCACCTGTACCCAGGTAAGCCTCTGGAGGGAGCTGCGGGGGCTGGGGTGGCGGGAACTGGGCCCTGCTTTTGATGCCACCTGCCAGACTAGGTACCGGCATTGCCACTTTCGCTTGGCCCCCGACTCGCTACACCCACCCCCTCTCCCTTTGCACCCAGGGAGGGATCCCCACACAGAGCCCCACTGGCTCCAGAGGTCTGAGAACACCCAGACCTATAGGGGGCCGCCATAGAGTCACACCTTCCAGACGACGCTGCAGCAGGTGACCCAGAACGGGCAGCAGGAGCCTCCTGCTCCAGACCCGCACTGAGAGGAAGGGGGGGAGGGCAAGGTCCTGGCGAATGTGCGAAACTGCTCTTGTGTCCCTTTCTTGACCCCAAAGTCAGGGAGAACCCTAAAAATGTGAAGGTATTCTTTTCAGAGCAGTAATGGAGTTTGTGAGGATTGCTCAACGCCTGAGGCTACAAAGATTGGGGGGAGAAAGCTCGCTCCCTGCCCTGAGGGCCTTAACAGTCCCCTAAGGGAGAGAGATGGGGGGGAAGTAAGGGAGCCTCAAGACAAGCTGCCTGGCCCACAAAAGGCTTGGGTGGCGGGGGCGCTGTCAAGAGCACAGAGGCGACGGTGATAGCAGGGGACTGGCTGGGGGTGGCGGAGGGGAACAGGTGCCTGGGCAGAGGCAGCCACAGCATGGCGGCTGCTAGTGGTCTCTGAGCAGTGGGCATGGGTCACAGCAGGTGCAGTGGGTGCCAGGCTGGCCGCCGCTGCCGCATGCCACAAGGCATGACCCCCTGGCTGAGCCCACTGCTGACAGCAGGTGGGGACGGGGCCAGACCTGCTCTGGGAAGACCTTGCGGCAGAGGCCGGGCTGCAGGAGGGCGCAGCATGGCTCTAACCCAGCCAGCGAGCTCTCAGAGTCTGGACCCAGCAGGGGCGTGGAGGCCACAGGACAAGCTGCTGAGGGGGGACTTAGCCAGGTTCCATGACTGCCTGAGACAGGGAGAGGGGGCAAGAGACTTTGGGGGCGGCTCCCAGCAAGGGGCTGCGGTACAAGCAGGGGCGGGAACCCAGTAGAAGGGAGCAGGTAGAGAAAGATGGTGTCCCTGAGCACAGGTGCCCCTAACCTGTGGAAGTCCCGAGGAGTGAGACCCACTTGCTGCTCATGGTCTGGGCCACTCCAGCCACCTCAACTTGGAAGGTGAGGCCTGCCCAGCACCGGGTCTCCGCCTGGGCCAAGGGCCCGCCCTTTTGTCTGTCGCCTAGCTGGGGTCTGGCACACAGAAGCTCAGGGCATTTGTTGAATCACCCCAAACTGCAGAAATCCTCCCCGGGGGGCATGAAAAGGGCGCTGATGGAGATGGAAGAGCAGAGGAGCAGCTATGAGCAGAAGGCCAAGGAGACCCTGCAGAAGGTGCTGGAAGAGAAGCTGAAGGCGGAGCAGCAGCTGCAGAGCACACAGGTGCGCAGCCTCCTAGGGTGGCGCTGGGGGGGGCTCCCACATCCACCGGCTCCCGGGGCTGCCGCAAAGCCCTTTGTGTGCCCGCAGAGGTCCCTGGCTCTGACTGAGCAGAAGTGTGAGGAGTGGAGGCGCCAGCACGAGGCTCTACAGGAGGAGTGGAGGCGCCTGGGCGCCCAGCACCGTGAGCTAGAGAGCCAGCTGCACATCCTGCAGTCCCAGCTGCAGGTACCGGGTGGGCGGGAGGGGTGCAGGGCCCAACAGTGCCCAAAAGCAGCTGGCAATATCTGGCTTCAGGGTCCTCACCCACTGCCCACCTCGCAGCAGCCCCCTGCTCACCTGAGTTTAGCCAGGGCGTCTGCCCCACTCAGGCCAAGCGAAGAGGTCACGGGCCAAGCAGCGTCCAAGTGCGAAGGGCACTGGGCTCCAGCGGGTCCCACAGCCTCCGCACCCAGAGCACCCGAGCTGTGGCCCACGGCTCCCTCGCAGCGTGCTTAGGGTGGCCACCCGCCCCTGGGGGCCCTTGCAGAGCTCCTAGCTTCCACCTGCGTCCTTGGAGACGTTACCCTCTGAAGACTCATTCTCCCCGTCCCCCGCAGTGAGGACCGGGTACAGCCTGGGAATGCTGTGAGGCTGAGGGGTCCCCACTCTCCCCAGTGAGGACGGGCTGTACCCCAGGACCTGTTAGTGCCCGCCGGGCAGTCACGCCCCTGCAGCAGATTCCCTTGGCTGGAGGCCACCTCCACAGGGGGCCTCAGTTCCAGGCAGCCAGACCTGAACCCCCAGAGGGCGGGTGTGAGCCACCCCAGGGCTATGAGCTCCCAGCCACCCACATCCACCCACAGCTTGGCCCCAGCCCTGCAGGAAGCCCTTAGCAAGTCTTTCTTTTTAACCTCGATTCTTTGTGAAAATGACCCAACCAAAAAGATTAATTTGCCAGTGCTAGAATTCCAAGCGAAGATGTCCAGAAAAGCGACAGCTCACCCCTGACCAGAGCTGGCTCAGCTGGAAAAGCAGAGCAAAGGGACGGAGTGGAAGAAACAACTTTCCGAGTTTCCAGCCCCCTCCTCCTGCTGAGCTGCCAGCATTAGTTCCCAGCCCTGAGTTGCCCTCCACTCCTCCAGGGAGCTGACAGCAGGGACTGCCAGATGAACCAGGCGCTGCGGCTGCTGGAGAGAGAGCACCAGGAGCTGCAGGCCACCATGGACCACCTGCAGGGGGGCACAGACGTGGGCAGGCCGGCCTCCCTGGCCTTGCAAGGTTCCTCCCCTGGGAGGCAGAGGGCGGAGGGCCCAAGAGGGAGCTGGGAGGGGAAGGATTGGTCTGCTTTGCTGGCTGGTTTTCTGGCAAGTCCAGGATCCAATGCCCCCAAGGACGCTCTTTCCTGTCCTCGGGCCAGGCCACAGCCTGTGTCCAGCCGTTCCTGATGGGAAAGGGAAAGGTCGGCTGCGACACCCATGGGGAAGGCCTGGCCCCGCCGGGTGTCTGCTGAAGGGCCAGCCTCCTCGGGCAGCTGGTAGGCACTCTTGGTTCACCTCCTCAGAGAGGGGGCAGAGCAGGAAGGGCAGTGGCCACTGGATGCCACAGAGGCCAGGATGGGGCACACCTACCCCTGCCTCTGGCCGGGATGCCCAAGGCCTTCCATTCACATTGGCTTCACTTCATTTGCAGATGAGCTGAGGAGGTCGGAGGAGGAGAAGCAGGCCCTGCAGGCGCAAGTGGAGCAGTTGCAGGGTGAGCTCTGGCCTCAAAGCCGGGGGCCGGGTGGGGTCAAGGCAGAGCATCTTCTCCTGCTGGTCACTTACTCTAGGGTCACGTGCTCTCCTCTCTCTCCCCTCTTCTCCTCTGGGGCAGCGACAGTTGCCGGCGCTTCTCCCAGGACCACATGCTGTAAAGCGCTGGGCTTTCTCAGGCACTGGGGATCCATGTGCCATAGCTTAGCAGGCCTGCGCGTGGTGCACTCCACAGAGACCGCATCTAGGGCAGCTCAGAAAACCCCTTGCAGGACACGGCCCTCGTCCATTTCCAAACTACATGCTGGAGCCAAAAGGAAAAGGGCCTTTTCGGGGGTGGGGGAGGTGGGAGCAAAGAAGCTGCTGAGAAGCTAGGGAGTGGAATTAATGGATAGTCCCTCAACGGCCACCACCTTGGCCTCAGAACCGGAATCACACGCACAGTCATGAGGTGACCGCCGGGGAAGGCCAGGTCAGGGCTCAGCAGAGCTGTGCCCACAGGCCAGGACGTGGGTCCCGAGCCGCTGAGCAGGTATCCATAGCCGCACCATGCGCTGGCGCCCCACACTGTGGCCTGGAGCCGGCCCTACCCTCATTTCCATTCTCAGCCACCTCCTGCCTGGGAACAGAGGTTCTGGGGACAAACAGGAGAGTCTGGGAGAAAGTGAAGCAGCTTACAGGGAAAAAGTTGTGATGGTAAGGGGACATCTGGGGAGTCTTCCTCCCAGAGACGCAGCAGGAGGCTGTGCCTTCCCAACAGCTCCACAGAAAGTTGGTCTATGAAGAGGAGGTGAAGGCTGCGGGCCTGCAGCCCCCAGCCTGAGGCAGGTGCTGGCCGGGCCCCTCTCCTTGGGGGCATGGTGTCTCCTCTGGACAACTCTTGGTTGGTCTCCTCTGGACAACTCTTGCCTCTGTCTCTGTCCAAGCGGCTCCTGCCTCAGGGACCGCACACTTCACACAGGCCCTGTCCCCACAGGTCTACTCCAGGAGAGAGCTCTGCAGCTCCAGGAACAGGGGAAGCTCCTGGCAAAGAAAGGTCAGCACCTTTCCTTCCACACACCCTAGCACCTGTCCCCACTCTCCTGCCCCAGCAGGGGTGGACCACCTGCCCCCCTGAGCCCAGCCCCCGACTGGGGGTCCTGAGGTCAGGGGCCTGGGGCACCTCTCTTGGGCCATCTGCCACTCTGAAACTCGGCCGGCCACCCGCTGTCAGGAGACTCCTCTGAAAACTTCTGTGGAAGATTTCAATAAACTGATTTTGAACTCAGGATTTCATGTCCCTTTGTGCACACTTAACTTTTCAAAGACAAATACTTGAAGGCACCTCTCGAGCCCCTGCCTCGGCTTCCCTGCCAGAGGGTCCTCCCTCAGGCTCTGATTCCTCCTCCTGGCCCGGGAAGCGCGATGCCCACAGTGTGAGGATGTGGACAGCTGGGGCTGCCCAGACAACAGTGTGGATCTGCCCAGCCCAGCTCTCCTAGCCAGGACACGCGCCAGGGGGCTGAACTCCTCTCCCCGCAAAGATGGAGGCTCCATGACGCCACCTCATCTGAAATGAGAACAGAGGGAGTGTCTAGTGAAGCCCAAGCTCAACAGACGGCCGTGGGCAGCTAAGCCAAGGGGCCTGCCATGTGGTCCCCAGAAGAGTGTAGCTTCTGCCAGGGCGAGGGATGAGAGAAAGCCGGAGGCCAGCCCTCCCCCGGGGCAGGGCCCAGCTCCGCCCAGTCTGCACTGGGTCCCACTAAGCGTGGTAGACGCAGGGCAGCACCCCTGTCTGGCAGGGACAGGCCCACCCATGTCCCCCCCAGCCCTCCCTCCTAGGGGTGCCCTGTGACCACCCCCTCACAGGGTTGGGCCTCAAGCACTGAGAATCTGGCCGGTTTTTTAGATCAGGCTTTGCCTGTGTGGAGTACAAATTCCTCCCGCCATGAAGTGGACTCCGAGGACATGGAGGAGAAAGGCTGGGATTTCAGAGACCAGCTGCAGAAGGCAACGCTGCAGCTCCAGGCCAAGGAGCAGGAGGTGAGTGGCGAGGGCTGGCACATAGCAGGTGGGGCAGCGTGAGAACGGGTTCAGCCTCCACTGACTGGCCGCCTCCTGGGCCTGCATAAACGTTCTCCTGGGCTGTCAACCTTTCTCTGACTCACAGCAGCCCCCCACCCCACTCAAGGTTGCGCCCCGTCAGGGAGCTGACCTGGGCTCAGACATGCCCAGCACATACAGATACCTGGCCACATGCCCTGCCTCCATGCACACACACTCCCAGAGGCTTTCGGTGCAGCTGGCCCCAAGCAAATGACCTGCACGTGGCTCCAAGCCTCGTCTCTGTGCCATGAGAGCCACGCCAGCTTGTAAGGCACGAGGCACCACTATACCCACTCGCTTAGAGGAAGACATTGGACTGATCGTGAGACAGACTCTCAAGAAAGACTAGGGTGGTGCTAACAATCCCAAAGACCTGCTGCAGGGCTGACCCGGCTGCGTGGGGTGTGACCCGTTGGCCTCTTCCCGCAGTGCAGAGAGTTGCGTTCCGAGCTGGACAACCTCAGCGACGAGTACCTCTCATGCCTGCACAAGCTGCAGCACTGCCGCGAGGAGCTCAACCAGGGCCGGCCACCACCTCCCAGGGTGAGTGCCCCTCCCGGGCCTGCGCCGTGGGTGGGTGGCCTGAGAAATGATTAGATGAACAGCCATGTCGGTGCCTGGTCTCTGCATGGCACCGAAACACTGGCTTGAGCAGCAGGCCCAAAGGCATGCTGGTGTCCTTTTAGGCCATTTTGAGTGCAGTGGGAGGACCAAGTGAGGGCAGCACAGTCTAGGAGAGTAAACCAGATAATATCACTTGGCAGTTACTTGCGCCCTTGATTATTCGCATTAGAACCTGGACCCCCGCGGGCTGACTCCCTGGGCCAGTGACCCTGGCTTACCCGCCAGTAAAGATGTTCGATCCCAAGGGCGGTGGCAGAGGGAGATTCTCAGGTAAACAGCTGCTTCCCACCAGCCCACTGTTTTCCATTGGGCGAGCCTGGGAAGAGAGATTATCTTTGTACCTCCTCTCAGCCCAGCCCCTTGCTGCTCTCCCCCCTTCTGCAGAGGCAATGCGGCAGGTGGCTCCCAGTGCTCGTGCTGGCAGTGGCTGTGGTGCTGGCCATGCTCCTGGCCAATGGGAAGGAGTGGTGACAAACGACCCTGACAGCCATCCTGGGTGAAACTCAGAGGCAAGAAACACCCTTGAGAGCTCAGGTTTGGGCACTTGCAAGTTTGGGTTTTTCCAACTCAACAGAGATTTCTGACATTTTTTTTTTTAACCTATTATAAAATAAGTCAACATCAGCTGCCTGTCTCTGCTCCTTGGAACTCCGTTTATTCCCGAGTGACACGTTACATTGCCAGCCTAAGACATACAAGCATCCCAGTCTGCTCTCCGAGCCCATTCTATATAGCCCAGTCCTCCATGTGCTTCAGACATACCTACAAGGCAATGGACAACACATGCCCTTGTCCTCCACGAGCTTGCTCCTTCCCCTCTCCTCTCCAGTGGGAGCAATGAGGCAGGACTCTAGTACAGAAATGGTAGGTTTGTGCCACCTCGGGCACCCCCACCACAGCAGATGTGGTGGGCAGCATTCCCGAGGGTTCTCAGACCTGGTTGCCTCTCTGCCATCCCTGAGCCTGAGCAGATTGCTTTCTGGGCACTTTCCCCGGGAAGAGAGCAAGTCAGAGGGCCACGGCTGACAGGGTGACCACCTCAGAGCAGATGCTGAGGTTGACAAAGTCACTCTGTGTCCCACATCGAGTCCTGAGGTCCTTCTCCCAGGTGCTCAGGGTGTCCCTCAGGGCTGGGAACAAGCTCTCCGGGACGCTAAAGGAATAGAGCAAGACCGGCGGTGGCTCCAGCAGCCAGGAGACCTGGGCAGTGAACACCCGTAGCGGGGTCAGGGCCAAGCAGTTGTCATCTCCCTGGTTCAGGTGAAAAGTATAGGGGACAGGGTAGCCCAGGAGGATCCCAAACAGCGCGCAGAGATTGCAGTCTGAGGAACGGAGCCTGCTGTAGGAGGCGGCTTGGGGCAGGTCCCTCTGCAGCCCCCGCAAATGCCTGATACTCTCAGCCACGCAGGCCTTCAGGTCCTGACACTGGTCCAGGGAGCAGAGAGAAGGGTGAGGCTGGGAGCCAGACACGTCCACCAAGGCTGTGGGGCCGAGCAGCACCCGCTCCAAGTGCTGACACACGAGCTCAGGACTGACGATCAGACTGTGCTCTCCAACCTCCAGGATGTGAAGGCGCTGGGTCGGGAAGCCCAGACTCCCAAGTTCCTCCAGGTAGCTCTGGAGCTGGGAGGGCCCCGCACAGTTGCAATCATACAGCAGCGCCGGCTTCAGGCCGCGGGCCACGGCCAGCACCTGTCCGGCCAGCTGCAGGCAGACGACTCGCGGTGGGCCCCGTCTCTTGCCCATGCTCAGGGTCCGCTGGACAGCTGCCACTAGCTGCTGAGGGCTGGGTGTTGCCATGGGGTCTGCCATGGCCCCCTTCCCTAACCAGCTCCCTCCCCCGGTGCATCGGAGCGCGGGACCCTGAGGAAGGACTGGAGAGAGCAGTGGCAGGGCCGATCACAGCAGCCGGGCACACCGGCCCGTAGCCGCCGTCCCCGCCCCGCCCGCCTAGTTTCCGCGGCGGACCCGGCCCTGGGGTCCCATCTCCCGCGGCGAGGGCGCCGTTTCCGGCTTCTACTCTACACCCCACCGCCGCCCGCCGGGACCCGCACCCAGGGCACAGGCTCTTGGTGAGGCCCGCGCTCCGCCGCGACGGTGACACGGACACACCGCAGTCAGCCCCGTGGCCGCTAGCTCTGGTGGTGCTTGGCCCGGGAGCGCGACGTCATCCCGCTGCGCCGAGCACTAGGACCGCCCGGGGCCGGAAGCGTGTCGCCCACCACCCGGCCCCTTCCGGGAGAAGGCAGCCCGCCCCGCCCATCTGTGCGGGACCGGGGGCGGTGCCTGGGAGAAAGGCAGGCGGCCTGGTCTATTGGGCGGGGCCTTGATGGAAGGAGGCGGGGCCTGAGCGGCTGGCCCTTGTCTCCAGCCTGGGGTCCAGGAGGCCAGGAGCCAGCCTCCGCCCCCTGCTTGGGGAGACTCTCTGCCTCCGAACCCAACTTACCCGCATACAGGGACACTTATTTGCTCAGTGGCCAACCTGCAGGGGTGGTGCCACAAAGCTGTTTATTCATTTTCACTTGACCTGCCGACGCCCTGGATTTGACGGCGATTCCGAGAAGGGGGTGTGCCAGGCCGCTCGGGGTGCTCCCTGGGGAGGCCAGGACCTGCGGAGCTCAGCTCAGGTTCTGTCATCGCACCTGAGAAATGCAGCAGATGTGCAGGGACTTTCCAATCAGGGCGTCTGGAGAAAGCATCGCTTCACTGAAGGGTCACCAGCCACACAGCAGCTTAGAAAAGAGCTTCTGGAGACCCTTGCCAGGAAGGAAAGAGCCCCTTGAGAAAACTGTCTGGGGAAATCGCCCAGCCTTACAGATGGAGGCACTGGCAGGGCAGCAGCAGCGGCACCTGCCCCAGAGGGCTTCCGCCATGCTACCTGCTGGTATCTTGCCTCTACCTGGTGACATCTTTCCACCTGAGACAGACCGCCATGGAGCGCCAGCTTGTGGAACTGTTGTAGAGCAACCCCGATACAAAACGGGGTGCCTGACTGTGGGTCCTCACCCGCGCGCTTAAAAGGACTTATCAATGCTCTACTACTGCAGGCACACGCGAAAGGTTAATAAAAGGTTTATTTACAGCGGAAGGGGAAATGAGGAAATGTACAGCTCAGGGAGAAAAATGGGAGACAAAGTTTTAAATGACTCCTACCCGATCTGCCGATCAGGAATCCCAAAATGGCACCCTGAGAGCTGGCTGCCAGCCAGGAGCCGTGAAGCCAGGAGGCGAGCGATAGTGAGCCAGCCCAAGACCCACGTGTTTGGTTTTTATATCCAACCTGGCTGCCCAACTCCACCCTCAGGTCCCAGCCACCCTCCCTTTGGTGGTGACGGGATTTGTCTTTCCCAATGTCTTGATGGCTTTAGTCTGGAGTGGGGGTGGGGTCCACAAAACCTGTATGGGATTAGCTCAGGACATCATTTCCCCCTAACCAGGCCACGGTTTAGCAGTGGCTCTTTGCTCACACAATCAGAAACAGAGAGGAGAAACTAATTTGAGAATGGTTTTCCTTCCCTATTTATTTATGTTATTGCCCCTGGTGGCTAGCAATAAATCCCTACAATGAAAGATGTGTTTAATTCTTGTGCTTAACAATAATATTTGAGAACATACAACGTAGCAGACACTATGCTAAGAGCTGCAGCAAAGCCCCTGCCTTCCAGGGTCACGTGGTCAAGCGGGCAGGACCCGATGCTGAACAACATATTCTGAAAGAAGCAGTAACAGGTGCTACGGCCAGGAAAACAGGGACCCAGCTATGTGGGAAGGACCCAGCTATGTGGGAAGGGACCAGCCCGGATCGAATCTTCCCCTCCCAACATATGACAGAGAGTTCTTTTTAACTTTAAGCCGCTCTAGTTTGGTGGGGTGGACAGAGAGGAGAAGGAAGAGCTGTTGTTCCATCTGACCCCTCCAAGGTGTAAGCAGGGTGCTAGTGCGGGGTTAAGGACACCACGGGAGTGAGCAGTGTGGCTGTCACAGGAGACGGCAGACAGTGTCGCCACGAAAGGACACTCACTGTCTAACCATCAGGCCCACAAAGGTGCCTACTCATGGGAGAGCCCTGCAGGCGCCTGCATCGGCTGGGCATGCAGCCATGGGGGCAACGCTGGGCGATCCCATCAAGACCACCCAAGCCATCCACCCCCCATCCACAGATGTTCACGATGCTCGCACACTCCGAGCACCGTCCTTCCTGGCCACTTACATAACCGGCCTCCATCCCGCTGGGCAACCAGGCTGCCAGCATCTCACACGACGAGGGACAGGACCGCAACCCAGTGGGCATCATCACAGCTGCCCCTCAGATTCTGTTGTGGTGCTGTGTGGGTGCAGACAGGGGCAGCCAGACATCGAGATCAAGCCCCCCACTCCACCCTCAGCAAAGTGGCGGAAAATGGGGTGTTTTGTGCCGGGCATGCGTCTGGCCTCAGAAGCCGAATTTCTGTTCACAGCTAAGCACCTGACCTTTTCCCAGAAGGCTCTTGGCCACACTTTAGTAACAGCCACCCCACGAGGTTCTGGGAGACCCTACAGCTGCATATGAGCATTCTGTGTAAATGGGTTCGCCCCAGCGCCACCTCCGGTTGAGTGGAGCTTGCATTTTTAATAGAGCAAGCCTTGAGTTTCAGCTGGTCGCTGTGGGTGGGCGGGGCTCGGCGGGAGGGCAGCAGCAGGGTAGCAGCAGGGCTCAGGGCTTTCTCTGTGGCTTGGTGCAGGACGGCATCGTGCTCAGGAGGACAGGGCCAGCGACAGAGATCATCACCTGGATTTCCATTCAGGTCTCGGATTTTAAAGTAGGTGTAATTCCATCATTTTCTTAAAAGGCAAAGGTGTCAGGGAGCAAGGAAAGCAGAGAAGACCAGTTTGTTGCAGCACGAACTGCTCCAGGGCGCCCCTCGCCACTTGCACCCAGCTACTGGGGCAGCCAGTTAAGCCCCCATAGCGGGGCCTCTATGCCCCTGCCTGGCCTCCAGCCATGCAGCACCCATTTCTCCCAGCTGAAAGCATGACAGGAAGGACAAATGTCCTGGAATAGTGGGGTGGGGTGGTCCTCCATGCCCAGCTCACACCCCAGGTCTTCCTGGGAGAGCAGAGGGCTCTTCCTCTGTGGCACCCGCCTGCCACAGCGCGGGAGTGAGGGCAGCTGTGTTCCTGAAGGTCCCAGGTGCTCGGCAGCTCCCCCCAGCTCATTTATGAGCCTTCACAGCACAGGCCAGGTGACTTTCAGACTTTGGCACCTACTTCTATTTAGATATCAAGCCTGGTTCCTAAGCAACCAGCCAGCTCCCCTCCCTCCCTCTATCTCCTCCTCCTCCTGCGGCTGGAACCAGCCAACTCTACTAGCAAAACAGGTCAAACGGAGATCAATCCTGACAAATCAGTGCTAGAGAGAACTTTAATGAGAGCGAGGGGAGAAAAATGCGGCGCAAGAATAATGCAGACATCCTGTCCCAGGCAGCTTCGCCCAGACCAGACCAAAGGCTGGAGGCCATGTGGTCAGGCTGGAGGCAGTTCTGGCCCCTCCCAACCCCCTCGATTTACAGTGAGGACTGTTGCCTGAGGTTAAATGATGGGCTCGGGGTCACACCGCCTGCCACTAGAACCCTGGTGGAAACTTCCAGACCAAGTCTCCTTCTACTCCATTCCACTACCACTGAGAGGTTTGACAAAGAAAAGGAAAGACTGAAGGGCGATTTTTTCCATAAATTAAATCAACTTTAAGAGCTAGACACCCTTGGAAGGTCAGAGACGACTGATGTGTCAGAGGGAAGACAGGTTCCAAGCTGGCTATGAGGGAAAAATAAAAAATATCCGTATATACAAAGCTGTAAAAAAAGAGCAGGCAGGTGGCAGGCGGCTACTGGGTGGGCAGGGCGGGGGGCAACTGCAGGCTGGGGGCGGGCTGCAGGGGCTGCCAGCCCTCCTGGGTCTGCAGGATGCGGTACAGCTGCTTCAGCTGGGCCACGATGTTGTCCTTGATATCCGGGGTGGAGATCTGCAGGCGGACACTGCCGCTGTCAAAGGACCGGGTGAAGTCACCGGAGAACATCTCGTAGATCATACGCGCCACCACTGGGATGACCTGCTCGGACGGAGCACAGGCATGCGCTGACGGGTAGGGCCACCCAAACGCTGGAGGCCCCAGGGCTGAGGGCAAACTGGCAAGCCCGGCAGCCCACCCAGGGTCTAGTCAGACACACTGTCGTCCCTCTGCTTCCCACTCCCCAGCTCGGTCACAACACACATCAAGAAAGATCTGCTCCCTTAGCAAGACTTGTGCCCATATTTCATCTGTCCCAGGCCTGCTGCCTGGCTCCAGGGGCCAAACCCAGGGCCTCACTGCCATCCCCTAGAATTAGGCATCCCCACAGGGACCCAGAAGAGGAGCAGTAGGACCTCATCCCACTGGGTTCCCACAAGTCTCCATTGTGGGTGAGAGGATGAAAGACAAGGTGTCCCCCAAATCAGGGGGCACTGTGTATCATCACAGGGCTCGAAGCCACACGGGCAGCACAGGGTCCCTGGGGCTTGGCCCCACACTGAGCACCAGGGTGCTGACCGGCTCGTCTCGGCAGTCTCACCTGGACCAGGATGAGCTTCCTCTCCGGGGGCTTCCCATCTGGCCATTCTTCCCCAAAGCACAGGTAGATCTCAAATGGCGGCTGCTTCTCTATCTGCCCTTTCTGGTGGGCAATGAGCTCTACGGAAGGAGAAGGCCACGTTGGGGACATGGTCACCCGCTCTCAGCTCAGGCCACGTCCTGGATTACGCTGCCCCCACGGGCCCACACGAGGGCGACCAGATTCCAGCGTGGGTTGGGCAATGTGTCTCGGCCACACACCCACACTCTGTGGCCTGCCTGGGGACAAGGCAAACGCATGGCGTCCTTGTCCCCCGGGGGCTTCTGCCGGGCACCACGGCACTCGGGGCTCCAGCCACAATGTGGAATTCACAGCTCAGTGCTGTCCCCAGACCTGTCTGCTGAGATTCACTACTCAGGTGATTCACCACTCAGGTGTTTAGCTGAAGGTGATGAATCAGGGTTAAGGTGGGTCAGACGCGGGGCTGAGGGTGGGGGGCGAGACAAGGCTGTGTCTCCCACCTCTGCCACTCAAGGGGTCCTGCCAACCTGACCTCTGTTTATACAGAGGTCACGCTGGGGCCTAGCTGGGTGGGGGACAGTGGGAATGACATGGCCCTTCTCTGTTCCCAGGCCACTTTCATTTTTCAGAACCAAGGTTCCTCCCCCTGGATGCCCCCCCGCCACCCCAAGAGATTTTTGGGTCAAGACCTTTGCCGTCAGGACAGAAGCGAGGGAGAGAGGAGCAGCTCCTTCCAGAGAAAACTCACCACTAAGGAAAGTTTCCAGACAGAAGAGCTTGACCTTCTTCTGTCTCTCGATGAGGTTGGGGGTCACAGGCGAGGGGGCACAGGGCCCTGACCAGTACACCTTGCACTGGCACAGCCTGATGGCATAGATGGCATGCCCACTGACCTCCAGGATCAGCCCCCTGTCCATGACATCCAGCAGCTTGCTGGTGAACAGCTTCTGCTTCTCATTGGTGATGTGCTCCGGGCCCGGGAACTTGACCTGCTCCAGGCTGACTGGTCCGAACAGCTCCTCCTGGTCAGGCATGGGCCCCAGGTCCCCATAGAAGAGCCGACAGCCCTGGGGGTTGCTCACAGTCATGGTGTGGCTGTGCTCCTTGCCCCGGTACTGAAACTTGATCTCCAAGTCGGTCACTGCAAGGGGAGGGGGCGGTGAGTCCCGCCCTGCTGTCCAGCCCAGAGTAGGCCGGTCCCTCCAGACAGAGCCCAGCGCACAGTGCTCAGGATGGTCATCAGCACCCCTGCAGTCGGGGAAAACTTGGCACATCCCCAGATGCTCACTCAAGATGTCCTGGCGAGCAGGCCAAGGTCCCTACACTGCCTCTGTCCCTCCCCATGCCTAGGGCTGATGTCGCCACACAGCATCATGGGTCCTGGCCTCCCTGCTTCACGCTGAGTCTTCACATCAGCGGGGACACTGGAGGGATGGGGCCAAGAACTAAGGAATCTGGTGTGTGTCTCACTTTGGACCCACTGCTTAAAGAAGAAGAGCTGGGCAGACAGGAAGAAATACCAAGCAGTCCTCTGCCAGCTGCTCTCCTGGTGAGTCTCGCCAGGCCCTGCTCCTGGCAGGACAGCCAGGCCTCAGGTCTTGGCATGGCACTAGGGTTCAGGGAAGTGGCCCTGGCACTCGCAGCCCCACCACATGCAGGGAGAACGGGTGGGGACACTGATTCTCCTTCGAGCTAAACGTATGCCCGGCTCAGAAAGATACCTTCTCTGGGTGCTAAAGGCCTCAAAATCCAAGCACCTGCGCAGACATCAGCCTCTCTATCAAGAAGTGCCTGATTCCCGAGCCCCAGCACAAGCCAGGCCTCCCGCTGCTCAGACGTGAGAAAGCCGGCCACTGCTGCAGCCTCCGCAGCAGGCGGGTCGGGCTGACACTAACTTCTCCAGGTGACTCATCAGCCAGCCAGGAGCTGGGCAGAGGCTGCCTGTGGGGCAGACAGCTGTTCTCTACAGGGGAGCAACGGGGCAGAAGGCGGGCCAGGATGGGGCGAGGGAGGAGCTGACAAGTAGCAGGGGAGGCCAGGGCTCACGTACTTGGGAGTGAGCTGATCCACAACTCCGGGGAGCTGTAGAAGGGCTGGATGGGGGCCTGGGGCACCTCCATCTCCAAGGGTTCCGTCTTGGGCCACACTGTTTCTGGGCTGCAGTTGCCCACACTGGTGGGTGCCATGGGGGAACCTAGAACAGAAGGATGTGGGTGAGCAGGGACACCACACACGCATGCACGCCAGTCCAAAGCTCTAGAAATGGGCAAGGTCAGCGGATGAGAGCCAGATGCTGGGCCAGGCCATGCGTGGTCTCCAGTTCCGGGACCCCTCGGCTAGCCCTGTAGGAGGTGGCATCCTGGCCTCTGCCTGCTAATCACATTAGTTCTCCTGTAAACTCAGTTCTGAAAACTTGCATTTGCCTAAGACAGGCGATCAATTCTTCTCTGGGGGCCAATGAAATGGCATGGATCAGAGACCCTGTTGTAGGATATGGCCAGCAATGAAACAAAAATGGGTCCATCCATAAAATGGACTCACCTGAACTGATCGACATTGAGTAAGGGCTTATACACAGAGATTAATAAAAAAAAAAAAAAATACTTCTGCGTGCCCAAAATATGTGGAAGAACAGTCAAGAACCTAGAAAGATCAGTCTCCTCTAGGGAAGGTTCCGGAACAAGACGGAAGAAAACCTTTCTATTGACTGCCCTTTTTGTGCCATGAGGTGTGAATCACATCTTAGTGATTTGAAAGTCTCCAATGATTTTTTTTTTAAAGAGAAAGAAAAGCCCGCCCTGTATCCCTGTGTTGTAGGAGCCTGCTCAGCCCAGAGCCTGCCCCCACCCCCAGGAAGGCACCTCCTCTCCACCCCCCAGCAGCTCTGAAACCACAGGGGCTGATGTTTCTTTGGTCCAAGTGTCTGGTTCTGGTTAAATCTATCTCCTGTTCAACTGTTTATTCTTGATGTGTGTCTGACGTCTTTCCAGAAAGGACCCAGGTGGCCCGTCACGTGGCCACACAACAAGGGCTTGAGTGAAATCTGGACAGAATGAGAATCCAGCCTCCCAGAAATGGCATGGATCAAGAAACCCTGTTGGAGGATGCAGCCAGCAATGAAACAGAAATGGAAGTGGCTGCACACGCGGAGGTAAGGCCGACAGGGCAGCGAGAGCTGGGAGGGGACCCGCGTCCCCGGCCTGCAGCCCTCAGCCCACCGCAGGGAGCCCATGACGTCTTCCTTTAAGCCACTTCTTTGCAAGGGGATGAGTGACTAGGCTTGCAGAGAGCGAGGGGGCAGACAGGGTAGCCATCTGCTGAGCCTGGGAGATCCCGAGCGGGAATGCCCGCACCTGAGGGGTGTCCTCACAGACCGGTTTCCAGGGTCATGGCCTCCTTGGAGGCTTCTCAGTCATGGTGGTCTCAGCGGGCAGGGAGACAGAGAAGGGGGCTGAGGAGCAACCCAATTTCATGGAGCCCCCTCCAAAGGAGACCTGGCCCGCGTCGTTCTGGGCTCCTGAGCTCGTGGTGTCAAGAGGTTCACAAGAGAACAGTTTTGTGCAGATAAACACCCTCAGGGCTGGCACTGAATGTAGGAGTCACATGTGGCCCAGGGGCCGCCTAATCAGAGTAGCCCACCAAGGAGTGGCCCCGGGTGTGGCCTCCACCATGACTCTGTGCTTGGCAAGGAAATCGCTGGGGTTGGTAACAGCCAGTGAGTTTGTATATAAGACGAGACTCGATCAGCAACTGAGAAAGGTTCTATTCCTCTGAATCACCAGTCTCGGCCCAGGGGGATGGGGTGCACAGAGCCACCCCAGCAGAAGCACTGGCCCCGGCCCACAGTCCAGCTTGCTGTGGCCACACTCCACTGCCAGGGGCTTGGGGGCCAGAGCAGCTGGTCAGAGCATGTGGCTGTGCTCCCACTAACCCCCAACCCCGCCCCACTCACCATTGATGTTCAGGAAGGGGAAGGTGTCCTGGATGGGCACATGGTGCTGTGACTGGTCCAGCTCATCCTCCTCGTCCTCCTCATCCACGTCATTATCCTTCTCATCCCAGGGTGTGGACCCTGTGGAGCCTGCCAGAACAGAGATGCAGCCACAGGGGCAGCGCATGGTCACCCTTCAGCTGAGGGGAAGCCAGCACAGCCGCTCTGGGGCTCAGAGCCCCCCTCAGCACCCCACGAGGGGCCAACACTCCCCATGAGAATGAGCAAGCCCCCACCCCTCTAGCACTCAGCACCCACCACAGGCTCTGTTTTCTGCTCTCCCAGTACATCAGTGCCCCTTCCGAGAGCTCAAGGGACCCCAACTTCTCTTTGTCAGCTTAACATGACAGCGGAGTCTGCCTGGATTCACTGGAGACTGGCCCAAGAGGCTCCACGTGCCCCCCAAGTGCCTGAGGGCATCAGTGACCAGCCTCCCCACACCAATAGCCACTTGCCAGCACATCCAAAGAATGAGTGACGACAGGTCACATCGGTGCTTTGGCCCACAAAGTGGGCAGCAGAGATGAGCCCGCACTCTTGCACAGAATGGACACTCCAGAGGTCAAATGCTCTGACCCAAGGTCACACGCGTAGTGTGACCAGGTATAGAACACAAACCCTGGGCCCTGCTCCTCCTTCTGAACCCCTTTCCTCCCCTCTGGCCAAGCCCTGTAGCTCTCTTCCACCTCCCCACCCCGCCCCTGTGTCTGGCCCGGTGGGGCTCACTGCATTCACACCTTCTCACGGCCTCCAGGGCCAGCTTTCTCAGCCAGACTCCAGCGGCAGCCAGGCATGGCTCTCATCGGCTCCCACCCCGCGGACCCAGCAGAACCCACGCACGGCCCCCCTCCCATCAGGGGCCTCACCTGGGTTGATGATGGAGCCCTGGGGCTGGGGGAGGTCACACACTTGGTAGATCTTCACGGGGTTCATGGGCACCTCCTTGGTGCCGTCGTACATCAGCGTGAACTCCCGGCTCTTGTTGAGTGCACAGCGGAGCTGGGCCTTCCATTTGGCCGGGTCAGGGTCATCCACCCCTTCCTGGTACTTCCCTGTCTCCACGGCCCAGGCCTGGACAACGGGCGAAGAGGGCAATGAGCACCCAGAACCCTGCAAAGCATGCTAGCCACTCCCCCACGCTCCATACACACCAGCCCCAATTTATAGCGGCTGTGGCAGGAAGCCCCTCAGGAACCAGGTAGGGAGGAAGCCACAAGCAAACAGTCTGAGGGGGGCTGCAGCTCAGGGGCCACTGGTGCCCCCCAACCCCCACAGGAGGCGCGGCCACCGTCAGGGCTGCAGAGAAAGAACAGCCGAGAAATGGCGTCCGAAAACTAGCAGCAACTTGGGGAAGCAGACTTGGGTGATTTTTTTGCTTCTTTGCTTGGCTGGAGCTACTTTTGTGTTAGGACATGAGGAAGGGCCCGCAGCGGCCCAGGCCATGGGAGACAGGACACACCTGGAGCCAGCTGGCCCAGAAGCGGGGGGCCTCACGCCCCGCACCCACACCTGCCTGGCCCTGTGCTGCGGGCCCCACTCACGGGGATCTTGGGCTGCAGTTGCCAGGGGCAGTGGCCAGGCCACACCCATGTTGGCTCCTCCCCTGTGATCTCATCCCCAGGCAGGGGACAGGAGGCCTCCCAGAGAGGCTTCTGCTGTGCCCACAACGGGGTCCTCAGGACCAAAGCAGGGCAGAAGCAGGCCACTTCTGGGCCAGCCAGCACCAGGTTGCGGCTGAGGGAGAGCCCTGGGCCTCTGGCTTTCTTCGTGACGAATGCTTGAGTGTGGAAAGTGAGGTTTTGTTAGCAGGGCCTCAAGATCACAGGCACACATGCCCCAGCCAGGGACAAGCTCCCTCCTCTGTCGGGACCAGGCCCTGGTGGGTCCAGCTGAACTGGACCCCCAGCCCTATCCTTGGAGAGCACTGGCCTCTCCCTCAGGGGAGCTTCTTCCCCGGCCCGCCAAGCCCTTCTCCTCTGATGAAGACGCTTCTTACACATCTCAGACCCACCTCCTGCCTCTGTGCAGGGCTGGCATAGAGATGGCCAAGTGGGCCCAGGTGCCTCGTGCTGCTACTCGTGCCTGCTGACTCACCCCCACCCCCACCAGCCCCCAGGGGCTTGAGCCTCAGGCCCCAGGACTCAGCAGGTCTGGGGTCGGTCACTGCCACCCTGGTTCCCTTGGGCCTGCCCTCCTCCTGGCTGCGCTGGCTTTGGCCCCGCCCACTTTCATGCCCCCAGAGCCACCCCAGGCCACCACATGCGCAGGAGCTGGGCTGGGGTAGTTTGGAACACTGAGCCACCTGCTCAGCCATCCCATGTCAGGCATCCCCCAGAGACAGGAAGTAGCTCTGGGGCTGCTGAGCCCCTCCCACAAGTCCTTTCATGCAATTCACACAGCAGCCCCAGCACAGCGTGCCTGGCTTCACCCCATTTCCCTTAGCAGGGAGCTAAGTCCGAAGACCTCTCGCCACTGGTTCAAACCACATGTAGCGACGATGGTCAGATTTGAAGCATCTCCCAGCTCCTGGCAGAAGGGGTGCAAGGTCACAGGGGCAGATGCTGCCTGAGTCTCTCCCAGCCCCACCACATGCTGGCTGTGATGAGGGCACATAAGTGAGCCCCTCCCAGACTCCTACACCCCAAAAGAGGTGTCAGGGTCAAATGCACAATGGACGCAGGCTGAGGGCAGACTTACTGCAAGTCTCACCCACACCTGCCCAAGCCTGGTCTCCTTCCAGGACAGGGGTCCAGTCACACAGAAGGCCTCACGAGGAGGGGTTTTGGGAAGCAGCCCAGCGGGCAGCAGATGCCATGCACAGATGCAGGTCCTGGCCCCGGTGCTGAGGCTCCCCCGCGCCCTGCCCCTGAGTGCCAGCCACAAGGCGCTGGGTGCCAGGGGTTCTCCTTGTCACCTTATATGAGGCTTCAATTTTATTTTACTTTTCTTTAAAAGATTTATTTATTTATTTATACAAGCACTGGGTACAGTCAGAAGCACGGGAGGTTGAGAGAATTCACCAGAGCCAGAGCGGGGAACAGAGCAGGCAGAAGGACCGAAGTACACTGCTGAGGGGAGCAGCGGTCACAGCAGGAGAGGTCTGCGTGTCATGTGGGACCCTCGCTGGCAGCCAGGGATTGAACCAGCGCTGCAGAGGCTGCAGTCAGCTTCGCAGCCCAGCGCTCAACTGCTGCGCCACCGGGGAGGCCCGAGGCTTCAATTTTAAATGAAAAGCGCTCGTTTACTCTCTGAGCACCCTCGGTGCTATTTCCCTGGTGAGAACCCGCGTCCCATCTTGAGGGGGCCTGGCATGGCAGGGACAGGGCATCACAGACGACTCCCTACAGGGCAGGGAGACACAAACCCATTCTTTGTGCCTCGGGGTGCGCTGTGGGGAGCACAGACTGCCTAGATGCCCCAGCCAGACTCACACCCTGTCTGGGGTGGAGCTTTGGTCTCCTTTCCATGCTGTGCAACGTCACGAATTAAATACTGTTTTGTTTCCATCACACAACTTAGACCAATGCTACATTTCACTCAGGAAGACACTTTTGTGGAAGAAAAGGTCATCATCCAATTACTTTTGGCTTTTCAGCAGAGCTTAAGATGGGGCTAAATATCTTCCCAGCAAATGCAAGCCTTCTACACTTGCCCCACAGGCTGCGCTGCGACCGCCCACGCACCCCTGACTGGCCCAGACAGCGCCCAGGCCCCAGGTCGTTCCTTTAGCAGAGCCCCCAGGGCCAACCAGGATGGAGAGGATCTGGGGGCTGCCTGCCTTGGTGGATCTGGCACAACCACCCACCACCATCACCTGGCCTTCAGCCAACGGCTCCTCTGTCCTCTGGGGTGTGAGCTGTGCCTCCTTGATGGTGGGAATGGACGGGGGCTGGACCTACGGGCCCACTGCCACGGGAGCGAGGCCCCCAGCGTAGGCCCTCAGCTGAAGCGGAAAACACAGCGGAACAAGAGCCAGGAGGACCAGAGAGAACGCCGTGGGCAGCAGGAGCCACAATACCTTGAAGATGGTGTTCTCCTCCTCCTGCTGGGGGCTGTGCCGCGTGGCATGTTTCCAGGGGATCTGGAAGCGCTTGGAGTCTCGGTGCAGCCAGATGAGCCCCGGGTACAGGCCGCTGTCCACCTGGGCCACCAGCCAGGGCTTCAGCCGCACTCGGCGGGGGTGGAGGGCCATGATCTGGGGGAAGCAGGAGAGTTAGCAGCGCTGGGAACCTCTCCCCACCACCATTCCTGCAGTCCCAGCACGCATCACTCGGTCACGGCACAGAAACCAAATGTAGGAACGGGCTGGCCAGGAAGGAAGGAAAGAAGCTGCTTTTGGTTCCTGCCCCCCCCAGCCGTTTACCCCCTGCTCTCCCGCCAGGCCTGCCTTATCATGAAGGGGGATCGCATTTCTCCTGTTTAAATCCCGAAGCAGGAACACAGAAAGATGATGTCACCCCTGGAACACAGCCCTTCCTAGAGGACCGGGCTTGGAGGACAGGGGAGGCCCTGTTCACAGCCTCCTCTTGGGAGAGGGAAGGAGAGGTTCTGGAAGGGCCCGGCGGGCCGGCCCAGGAGTACTCTCTAGAGACAAGCCCACGAGTGGGAATGCTTCAGTAGGAAGTGGCTCCCTCAAGGTGGGGAGGCTGCCAGGCAGGTCCTGGGTGCAAAGCCCCACCTACATGGGTGAGCAAGAGCCTGTGACCCGCCTCATCACGCTTTCATTTCTCTGGCCCCCCAAGAGTCTGTCCACAGGGAAGGGTCTGGTTATCCACAGAGCATCAGGGTCTGGGAGAAGGCCGGGACTCAGGTGCCTGCCACAGCCACACACCGGCCTAGGCCCTGCAGCAGCCTGCACCCCAGCAGCCCCCACACAGGCTGTGCCCGCCCCACAGGGGCCCCCAGAGCCGTGACTGCAGGGTAAAGTCTGCCATCGATCCTCCTCACAGGCATGCGCAGAGCAGATAACAGCTCACGGGACGGAGCCCTGCCTGGGCCATACCCGGGAGCCTGAGGACTGCACTGTGGGCTGGGTTTGTCCATGGCATCCCTGCTCTCCTTACGGAGAGAAAGGGATGCCTGGAAGGTAACGTGCATCCGACAGGTATCTGTTCTGCTGCAGGCCTGCCACACTGGCGACAGCAACTGGGCACCCACCAGGCTGCAGAGGACACCACACTGGCTGAGGAGGGACCGACGAGAAATAAGTCACCTTCACACCCACAGATGCCCACCGGTGGAGCGGGCAGGAAGCAGCTGAGTCAGCAGAAGGCTCCCACCCAGGGGACTTAGCTGAGTCCCTCCCGACACCCCTTGCTCCCTAGCAGGCCCACCACAGGGAGAACCCCAGGCCTTCGGGGCTGGTTCTTTAAGAGCCAGGCAGGACCTGCTCTCACCTGAGCTGACTGACCCAGTTACCAGGTCCTGCAACCAAGCCTTCCCTTGGGAGGGGCGCAGCTCCGCGGCTGGCACCCCTCAGTCTTGGCTGTGGTTTAGGCTGTTTTGAGGGCAGCCGTTGCACCACCAAGGCATTCACCTTGTGAGGAGGGAATGAGTGGTCTCCCAGGGGCAGGTTCCAGTGGGACCAGGGTGTGGGAAAGCCCAAGGGAATGGGCAGTGGGCAGCAAGCCTGCCCCAGCGGGGGGCTTCTGAGGATCCCCCAGCCCTGCTCAGTGCTGCACCTGGGCCTGGCAGACACAGGAAACGCCTCTGGGTGCAGCAAGACGTTGAAGGGAGGGTTCACTCCCATGGGGCCGAAGCCCACCGAGAGGTTAAGGAAACCACCTGTAGCAGCGAGGAAAGGGCCCCCACTGCAGAGCTTGGGGTTCAGCGCTGGAGCCAGGCTCCGCTCCGCATGTTTCCAAAATGGTGCCACACGTGAACAGCTCCACTTCACCCAGGGGACATGGCGGCCGCCCCTGCAGGTCCCTCCACCTTGGATTCTGCCAAGATCCCCCACCTGTCACCTGATAACACTAAAAACCGGCAGAGAGGACAAGGGGGTCGCCCAGGGTTAAGAACAGACTGGCTGACAGTGCCTTTGGCTTTGGCCCAGTGGCCGCAGCAGCAGGTGGATGGGGCAGGGGTGTCTCCAGTGTCATGGGTGACATGTGGCAAAGACAGGGACTGGCACGTGGCGTCTCCGGCTAGTATCATAGGTGCTCTTGCTGCAGAGGTCACTTGCAGGACAGAAACATGCAGGAAGAAGTGGCCGTGGACAGGAGGCCGGGAGGGGGCCCCCAGAGGCTGCCCAGTTGGAGGCTGTACCCACATCACACCCGTCCACGGCTTTTATATTGCCCCCCATTTTCCTACATCCCTACAATGACATGCTTCAAGGTATGATAATGATAAAAACAAAACACACGTAGTTATTTTTTATGGCCATGGGACACTAAGACATTTCTTGCTCACTGGAAGGTATAACAGAGGAAGACCAAGAGCTGGGGAGACCCTGGCAAGCACCCCCTTTACTTCTGCAGCGGCTTCAGTGTCCCCCAAGATTGACATGTCTGATTTCATCCTCACCTCCTGTCAGTACTGTCCTCAGCTCCTTTCCAGCCAGTTAACTGAGGCACAGAGAAGTTACGGACTTTATCTGGGGCCTGGACCCAACAGTCCCAGGTTGGGGGTGCACCCAAGCCAGGCCACACCCTGCTTTCCAGCCCCTCCCTTCTTCCATACACCAAGTCCCACTGGCCTGGAGAAGGGTCGCAAGGCAGTTAGGCAGGGCCCGTGAGATACCCACTGGCCCCTGGCAGATACCAGAGTCTCCTTCCAAGCCCCTGACCCTAAATGCCAGTGCTGCAGAGCACCTGGGCCACACCGGACTTGGCCCAGCATCGTGAAGCCGCAGGCCTGCGTCTCTAGCAGCCCAGGAACAGAGAAGCCAAGCCAGGCTACCCCACACTGGTGGGGAGCGAGGGCACCTGACACTCCACACCCCCGCCCAGGCACCAGCTTCCCTCCCCCCACCACCCCAGGGGCCAGTCTGCAAACACACACACCACCTCCGCAGACTCCGCAGAGGCACCAACCCGAGCCAGGCGCTCACCACGGGTTTTCTCAGGGTAGGACACGCCCGCAGTCTCTAGGAGGGGTGTAGGGGTCCTATTTCCACTCAAGCCCCCAGAGGGGACTGAAATGCCTTCCTGCAGGTTTCCCAGCCCTGCCTCGGCTCAGCCCAGCTCTGCCTCAGGTGCACACTGGGCCTGCAGCCATAGTTCCCACGCCTCCCCCAGCTGGGTGGAAGCAGGGGCTGCAGGGTGGGGGAATGCAGGCCCAGGTGCTGAACACGTCCAGCCTGCGCCCACTCTCCGAGCATGCAAGTAAGTGAGCGGAGCAGGCCCACACCCACTCCACACAACACCTCGCCCTCTGCCTCCAGGGAAATTCCACTTTTGATATCCGGGAGCAGGGTTGGGGGCAGGGGCACCTCCGTCCCCACAAAGCAGGCTGCCCATAAAGAGTGGTACCCCAGGCCTCCCTTCCAGGCAAGCCTGGGAGACTCCCCATTTCACCCCACAGGTCTGGGTCCAGCCCCTTCAGGGAGAGGGCCTCACCCCCAGCAGCCACGCCCAGTGCCACCTTCCCAGCTCAGCTTGGCTCCCGGGAATCCATGGGTGTCTCCCAGGGGCAGGGCCAGGTTTCTGGCTGCCAAACAAATCCAGGGAGAGAAGAAAATTCAATCAAGTCCCTGGCCGTCCCCCTCCCCTCCAATTTCCTAGTACCCACCAGCACCAAGGGCCCAGAATCCTGTCTTTGGGACGTGGGGGCCCAGAGCTGGTAAGACAGAGGGGTGGAGGAGCCTGAGCTCCCAGGAAAGAGGGAGGGTAGGGGCCCAGCGGGTAGGGAACAAGGGAGACTCCACAAAGTATGGGATCCAGAAAGGCCCGGCCCTGCTGGGCCAGGCAGGACCCTGCAGAACCTACCTGGGACAGGGCGACAGGCCCCCAACCCCAGAGGGCACCCCTCAGTAAACAGATGTCGCCCAGCAAGCTCTCCATCGAGAGCAAACTCTGAGGTGGACCCTCCTCAGCCAGCAGGGGTCCCCCCCCACTCTCCAGGCTGGTCTCCAGAAATTGGAGTCCCCACCTTTTCCTCAATCGGTCGACCAGAAGCAGATGTCCCTCCGAACCAAGTCCCCAGCGAAGATCCCCCGCCGTCACCGCGCGCCTCGGCCGACCGGGCGGCCACACCTGGCCCTGCGCAGGTAGGGGCTGCGGCTCAGCTCCCGTCACGCACCGGCCCTTACCTGCCTGGCCCAGGTGCGCCAGCCCACGTCAGAGCCTCGCCCAGGACGCCGCCGCCGGCCCCGCCCCCAGGTGCGGCCCCGCCCCCCGCCCGGCTCCCGATTGGCTGTGGAGAGAACTGTATGTAGCCTCGGCCCTGCCGCCGCCCCCAACTCGCCCAGCTGACCAAGCCCCGCGGGGGCCTGGGCGCGGGCCCGGTGGTCCTGGGAACTGGAAGGACCGGGAGGTCAGACCCGAGTCAGGAGGGGGTGCCTCCGCCCCCGTGCCCCGTAATTACCTGGCGCTTTGGAGACAGTTAACCACAGGGAGGCGGCGAGATCCGGGCTGCTACCCACCTGCCCGCCTAGCCCAGTGGGAACCTGGAGGGACGCAGGCCCCTCAGCCCCTTCTGGGGTGTGGGGGCCCCAGGGCAGGATCTGCTTTAACTCTGCCTTTTGCCCTCGTGACCCTGGGCCTGGTACTTAGCTTCCAAGTTTCCGTTTCCCATTTGTCCTGAGAGGATAATAACCCCTGCCTCTGCGCTCCTCCAGGGTGCCACTGGGCAGGCAGGAGGGCACAGAGGTGTAGGGGTCAGCCCTGAGGGACACCCCTGAAGGAGGGCATGGCAGGTCGAGCCCCCAAACCAGCCGCTGGAGCCTGCGCCTGGCCTCTTGGGCTGTGCCTGGAGGGGGCCTTCACACCGATCATGGGGTCACTGTGGTCACTAGAAGGGTGGCCCTCACCCCAATGGTGGTGTCCCGACAAAGGGGGCATTTGCACAGGGGCGGTGTGAAGACCCAGGGAGAAGGTGTTGCCTCTACACCAACGTGGGGGGCCCAGGAAGCCCCCAGGTCCTGCCAGACCTGGGGCTTCCCATCTCCAGTCTCGCCTGAGAGTCCTCGGCGTATGAGCCCTCCCCTACGGCTTTGTCATGACAACCCTGGCAGCAAAACACGGGTGTGTTGGCGGCTCCGGCCTGGAGGGGGCCTTGATTCCTGGCACCATCAGCATGGTGTAGGGGGTGCAGCTGCAGACCCCTGGGAAGACCATGGGCCAAGCCAAGGCCGCCAGCCTGTCTCCCCTGGCACTGGCACGCTCCCCTCCCGGGCACCCGCCCTGGCCTCCAGCTGCTCAGACCCAGAGGCCCTCCATCCAGGACTGGGTTCCTGAGACTGGCCAGCAGTCTGCTGCAGGTGAGGGCAGACGAGGGGATACCAACATGGAGCATGTCTTGAGGGGCGCAGACGCCCAGCTGCATGCGAGTGTGGGCCCACAGTCCACTTGCCGAGATCCTGAGACTAAGAGGTTTCTTCAGGCTCCTCCTTAGAAGACACACATTTTAGGATCAGAAAGTCCAAGCTGGAAATTCCCTCAAATCCTACAGTCCAGAGGAGGTGCTGGCTTGGGCTGTTTGGCCCCCACTGTACTTCAAACCTCGGGGAACGTCACATAGCACATGGGGTTCCTGGCCCCTCTGTAGCATGGGGAGCTCCACACCCCGGTCGCCCTGTTAGGTTCACTCATTTATTGTGATTGCCTCAGCTTGTAGCCATGTGAGTTTGCAGCCTCTGGTCCAACTCCCCCTTTTTACAGATGAGAAAATTGGGGCCCAGGGAGGTCAGCTGATTTGCTCAAGGTCACAGAGCAGAGGAGTCACAAGCCTGAGACCAAACTGGGCCCAGGGCGCTTTCCATCCGGCCTTGCCTATGCCCCCAGTGCCTCTGCCGGCGGCACTGCCCACAGTCGAACATCTGTAGAAGAACCACCGTGGATACTCGATGAGCCAAACAGCCCTGACTCCAAGGCCACACGGTGGCAGGGGTTTCCAGGAGGGACAGCGGTGGAAATCACTGGAATACTTCCCAGTTCTTCACATGATGGGCCCTGACAACAGGCCCCCAAGTCCCTCGCTTGAGGCTCCAGCCCGCCACCCGGGGTCAGGGCATCTCGAGAGCCCTTCCGGGATGGCTCCTCCTGCTCTCCAAAGAGCTTGCTTGGGACCCAGATGCCCCCAGGGTCGTTCCCATCCCAGGGCTCTGTCCTGCTCAGGTGGGGCCTCGCTGACTCATCTGTGAGTCTGAGTTTCAGGCAGCGGGATGCCCATTCCAGGAGGCCCCTGATTCACCCCACAGAGGCCGGGACTTCCCCTCGCCTCCCAGACCATCTGACTCAGCCAGCCTTTCCCCTCCATTGTGCCCAACAGGGCCACAGAGCCCACTCTCCCGGGGCAGAGGAGGGTGTGGCAGCCCGGAGCACCCGGCCTTGGTACAGCCTGGGCTGCAGTCCATGGGGCAGGCCTGGCAGGCACTCTGCGAGGCTGCACTGCCTGGGCTGCTGCAGAGGGGCAGGACATGACCTGAAGCAGTCAACCAGCTGACCCAGAGCCCAGCCAGCTCTCTGGAAGGCTCCCTGGAGCCCCAGCTCTACACTCAAACCCTCCTCCACCCTGGTTTCTCTCTGGGTCCATCCAGGTATTTCACCATGACAACAGGGGGCCAGCACCTTGCCTGAAGGGCACCTGCATTGTGACTTGCAGTGATCACTGTCCCTTTCATGTCCCCCGCACCCGACCCTGCCCCTGCATGGACTCCTTCCCAGGATGCCACCCAAGTCACAAATCCCAGTGTCATCTGGATTTCTGCAGGGGAAGCCGAGCAAGATGTAATGAGCCTTGCTCTCCCACACAGTGCATGCCAGGTTGTTTTGGGGTCCAGGAGATGCCCCCACTGGAGGGCTCATAGCTCTTCCTCTGGACTCTCGTCTGATCCTGGAACGGAGCTAGGCGTGGCAGCCTTCCCAGAAAGAGCTTTTCTCCAAAGCTGCATCTATGGGGAAAGGGCCACATCTGATGCCAGTGGCCCACCCCTCAGCCATCCTCCCTTCAGCACTGACCTGGGCCCACGTCCCTCTCCCTCGGGCCAGGGATGCTTCTAGACAAAGAGCCAGGTAGGGATGAGTAGCCCACGACATGAGGGTGAACGGCCCTGCCCCAGCAGGCCTCCTGGGTGACCGAGCAGCACCTGCCCTGGCCCTTGATGCTGTGCTGCTTGGACAGGACATGCAGGGCATGGAAGGCCTGGGCAGAGGTGGGTGCTGAGGTGCTGAAGGAGGACCCTGAGCTGGGTACCTTTGTCTCCTCGATGTGCACTGTCCTCCCTGCGGGCAGCCCCAGGCTGAGGCCCTCGAGGCTGCACCCTGGGTCTCTCCCAGCCCAGTGGGCACCCATCCCAGGGCCACTGGACATCAGGAGTGCATCAGGTAAATGAGGTGTGTGGGGCTTAGAATCTTGGGGGGCAGTGTGTTGAGAAGCAGTACTTCTGTTAATAAGACTGATGGGTGTGATTCTCTTTTCCGCTGCCCCCGACCCTCCCAGCAGTGACAGGAGGTGGGGGGGACCCTGACCCAGAGAGCAAGGAAGGGGAGAGGCCTGGAGGGACAGGGCGACAGATGGACACAGATGTCAGGAGACTAACACTGTTGCAGTGGAAACAGCAGGGGAGGAGACAGCAGACACAGACAGGCAAGAAAATGCCATGTCACTTTAAGAAAGAAGAAAGTGCCTGGAGACCTGGCCTAGGCCTCCGGCTGGCTGCTGGGGGAGCCAGCAGGTTCTGTAATTGTCAGCCACCAAAGGGCCGAGCCCCCAGCTACGCCAGTTGGGGCCAGTTCTGCCAGCAGCCTGGACAGCTGGGCCAAGCCACATTCCCAGGTGAGCCAGGACTGGATGTATCCCCCATGCTCTCCTATGCCCCGGCAAGTGCTGGACGGTGCTCCCCAGGGGTGCTGGTCCTGGCTATAAGAGGCCTGGCTGGAACACAAGGCAGCTGCAGCCTGGGGGTGGGAGGGCTCCTCTCGCTGCCCCAGGGCGCAGCCCAGGGCCTGGCCAGTGGGCACTGGCTTCAGGAAAGCCCAGATGAGAAGTGAGTCTCTTGTTTATTCTTGGGGCACATCCAGACTGAGGCTCCATCTTCTGTGGACAAGGGACAAGGTTGAGGGTGGCCCTCAGAGCCCCCGGACTATTCCCTTAGGAGATGCGGCTAACTGGAGGCAGGCAAGGGTCATGAAGGAGGGCGTCTCCCACCAACTATCAGACTCCTCAGATCCCCACCCCTCCACCCCTTCAGCACCCCTCCTCCTCACCCTCTGCCACCACCTGTTCCACTGCGTGAATTTTCTCTGAACAGTCCATGTACCAGCCTCTCACAGGCACCTGCGGGTCTGCGGAGAGTCAGGGGACAGGCGACTTCATGCTCTGGCTCTGGGCAGCTCTGGCCTGACCGGGCCTATAGGCTCCCTCCCTCCCCAGTGTCTACCTGCCTCCTGGGCGATGGCCTTTGCCAAGGTCGTCTGAGCTGGTCCTGGACACCCTCAGCCTGGCCCCAGGACTATGGTGCTGAGGGCTGGCAGGGGACGAAGGGCCATGGCAGGTCGCCCCAAGGATGGCAGGGTGGAAGCTCACACAAACAGAAGAGGCCTGTCTGGAGGGGCCCGGTGGGCAGCATGGGGTTGGGTCTTTCCTAAGACAGACCCAGCTCAGAGCCCAGGGCCAGCCCAGGGAGGACAGCTTGTGCTTCCCCCCAACACCTGGTGGCTGCTGTATGCAGAAGGGGGAGGATGCAGGGCTTGTGGTGGGGTCCAGTGACCTCGGCTGCCATGGGGAGCTGCCCAGGCTATTGTCCTGAGGTCGGGTTCAGTTAGCAGGAAACAGACCTGGAGGCAACTTCAAAGAGCAGATCTGTTTCCCAGGCCTCAGAAGGTCTTCGGTAAACAGCAGACACCACTCTGGCGCGAGGTTGCCCAGGCCGGCAAGGAGGCAGGGGCTGGGCGGGAGAGCGCCTTCCTTTCCAAGCCCCAGCCTGGTTGACGCTACCAACAGCCAGACCATGTACTGCCGCTGGGAAATCCAGATCCTTGTGGAAAATCTT